TTCATGAATTCATATTCTTTGTAAATTATCACTGATAACTTGCAACAAAAATTAGAATCTGTTAACCATCCAAAAGACATTCATTTTTTAAATATACAAAATAAAGTATGGGTTGGTGGATTCCCAGTGTACCTTATGAGACTGCAGCAGATGCCAATCCTACTTAGCCTTTTAACAGTCTGATTCTTTTCCTTCCAGTTATAACTTCCCTTCATAGCAGCCTTCTTTTTAAATTTTGATTCAAAGAAAGAATAAAAACCATTTTCATATTGCTACATTGTCTCTTCACTGAAGCATGATTGTGTGACTTGCTCAGCATCTTACAGAAAATGGCGAGTGGATAGATAAAACTTACCTCAAACTACTCTTTCATTCCATTGAAGAAAATAACAAATTTTATTCCATGACTTATAGATGTCAAATTCATTGCCATCTATAGGACAGGTTTTTTTTGTCAACAATAACACTTAGATTAAACACAATCTAGATGTCATTTGTTGACTCCCACAGAAAAAATAGTAGGCACAGTTTGGTTCTCAGGAGTTTTCATTCAGCTATGGATTTAATTTTATCCTGGAGTATGATTACTGTGGGGATTTTTGCATCTCTGCTCTTTCTTATCCAAGGAAATAGCAAAAAATCTCATTGGCTTCTCAATTTCAGTGTTCAAGCCACTATGAATTGATTTTATACTAAGCATTAATGAATTAATTCATTTTTTAACTCTAGTCAAATTACTCAGCCTTTCCTTAACCATGCCTTCTTTTACAAAAAAAAAAAAAATCAGTTAATATTTCAGAAGTATCTGAGAAAATTAACCACACACTTAGCATTAGGGAAGAATTTTAAGGCCAGAACTTTCTATAGTAAGCAGACCTAAACAATACTTTTTAAAAGGCCTTTCAAAAATATTGGGTATGATGGCACATGGCTGTAATCCAAGGTACTCAGGAGGCTGAGGCAGGAGAATCATTGCCAGTTCAAGGCTAGTTTGAGCAAAGTAGTGAAACCTGTTCTCAAGAAAACAAAACAAAACAAAACAAAAAAATGAGTCAGGGATGTAACTCAGTGCTCCTAGGGTTCAATACCCAGTTTCATAAAGAAAAAGTCTTCCCCAGGCTGGGGATTTAGCTCAGTGGTTCCGGCTCCTGCCTCGAAAGTGCAAGGTCCCAAGTTCAATCCCCACCCCCATACCAAAAAGAAAAGAAAAGAAAAGAAAAATGCTAATATTTTCTCCAAGTTATTTAATCATTATTAATTAATACCTGCTTTGAAAAAAGGGGAACCCAGGCCAGGTGTGGTCATGCATGCCTGTAGTCCCAGCTACTCTGACTAAGGCAGGAGGACCCAAACTTTGAGATTAACCTGGGCAACTTAGAGCCTATCTCAAAATAAACACATTTTTAATATTTTTTTTAAAAAGGCTGGGAACGTAGCACAATGCTTGCCTACATGCATAAGGCCTTAGGAGCCACAGAGCATATATACATACATACATAGACCCCAAGGCCAAGGGTGTCGTTCAGTATGGCCATGAGTTCAAGCCCTACCACCACAAGGGAGAGGGGAACCCTTTGAGGAATTGCTCCTTTAATATATAATTATCTAAATGGAAACAGAGTGTAGCTCATGAAACCTCTGTGTACGAGGTGGAGAAATGTGACCCCAAGTAACGTTTAGATGGAATTACGCGTAGTTGAGTTGCACCTTCAGGTCATGCTAACAGATTGTGTCATGAGTGGAGGTGCCTAGTAGACTGTCACATGGTTCTTTCTTTAGCAAAGTCATGTTCCTCATTTTATTAATGACTTGAATGAAGGTATCATTGATACAGTTCCCAATTTGCAGAAATATTCACCCTGAAAAGTTAATAATGTAATTATTAAGCAATAGAATCAATCCAGGAAAAATATCTCATAGGTTAAAAACATGATAGTCATTCTAAACTTGGGTCCAAAAAATCTAGATGCATTACTTAAAGGAGAAATAACTTAATAGAAATGAGGAAAAGCTTGCTTAATTAATTGAAATTCATTTAAAACTCAGTGGGGTTAGGGCCTAGGATTTAGCTCAGTGGTTCCACTGCCTGCCTGGCAAGTGCAAGGTCCTGAGTTCAATCCCCGGTACCAAAAAACAAAGAAAACTCAATGGGGTTAAAGTTTAGTGATATATAGATAGATAGATAGATAGATAGATAGATAGATAGATAGATAGATAGATACACACACACACAACCTATATAAATTCAAAGAGAAAGATGTTTCTGACATTTAGTTTTATAGAATAACAGTGGCGTATTCTTTCTTTGAGGCTGTGCCCGGTATTTATGGAACTGACACAGATAATAAGGTAGAATAATTTTAAGTAAAATCTAGGACAGAAGGAAGGTGATAGAATACTTGAATTCACTGAACTTCAAAAGACGTCTTCCAACCTAATATTTAAATCTGTGAGTTAATACATCTTCAAACAAATGCAAGAAAATACTATACATTTTATTTCTGGATCACAGAACTTTTTAAAATACAAGATTCTTACAAAGGTTTTTAAATCTAAGGTTCTTGCTCAGCTTAGTTCTGTTAATACTTTCAATCAATTTTATGCCATGTCTTGGAATTAAGTTAATTGAACAGGCTGCAAAAGCACAAAACTATACTTTTTGGCATAGCTACAAAGGGGAGCCCTTTTGAGCAATTTCCATTTAAGGACAGCATCTGTCCATTTATTAGATGTGAATTTGTGCACAATTTATCTCACTTCACAGATGACCTCAGCCTAAGTGGCATCATAGCAGCTGTGGCAGTTGTGGCCTTAGTGATCTGTGCCTGTGGTCTCGGTGTGTGCTACGCTCAGAGAAAGGGCTACTTTTCAAGTAAGTGAATTTCACTTTTCTTTGATACATGATCTCCTGTAGATAGAATTTTCTTGCGAGACACTGTTTCCCCTAACAGCTTCTAACAAACTTTGGAGTGTGATTTTTCACTGATTTTTCTGTTATAGATAATGTCCAAGATCGGGCTGGGGATTTAGCTCAGTGGTTTCGCCGCCTGCTGTGCAAGTGCAAGGACCCGAATTCGATCCCCGGTACAAAAAAAAAAAAAAAAAGATAATGTCCAAGATAGCGTGCAAGTAGGTTATAAAGCACCTAGGTAGCCATAGAGAAAAACGAGTGCCTTAGCTGCAGAATTCCAAACAACACCATACGATTTGTAAAAGGCAGATATTCAAAGTAGACAGATATTTATAGCGTAATCACGTATATATATATACATAAGATCCTTTAAAGTTAGGGATTGTTTATTCCCTCCTTCTCTCCATTCCTTCCCTTCTTTGTTTTCTGTTTTGGAGGTGCTGAGGTCAAATCTGGGGCCATGCACTCAGGGCAAGGGCTCTACCATTGAGCTACATGCCCAACCCAGGAATTTTTATGCCTCAAGATATGTATTCCAAAAAAAAAAAAAAAGGATATATATTGCTTTCTAGTTTTAGGAACAATTTCATTGAAATCTACCTGGGAAATGTTTTATTAGTGAGGAGTGGAATGTTGAATGTCAAATTTAGCATAACTATAGAAGGGAATTGTTTAATCAAAGCCAGAAACCAGCCAAGCATGGTAGTGCCTGTCTGTAATCCCAGTGCTCTGGGAGGCTGAGGCAGGAGGATCAAAATAAGATTCAAAACACATGAGAACGGTTGCCATGGAGCTCAGTGCAAATGCCCTGGATTCAATCCCCAGTACTAATAAATAAATAATTTTATTAGAAATACTTCTAAGCAAGGGTTTTAGTTCTTGAAGTTTAGGCCTTTCATAACTTCAAACTCCATCTTATGAGGTAATAATAAGTTTGATGTAAATGTTGATATTTTAAAATATTTCATCCTTTTAATGCATTTTTTCATTTCCGGTTTTTAAATATTCTGAGAGCACAAAGCCACAGAACTCCATTAAGTCCATTGGCAATAATGTATAAAGTTGAGTTTTTACATGGAGCAATGAATAAATTTATAGCATAAAAAATTTTAAACCCATTGTTTTATAATGGGTATTAACTTTGGAATTTAGGTTTTAAAATATAACAAAATAAAATGAATTTAAAAGGAGTTTATGATAATATCTATAAATAGACCTTACATATCATAAAATGTTTCCATGAACATAGATTCAAGGAGATTCCCTACAATAGGAAAGAAAAGAAGGGAAAAGAATAAATGTGAGAAAAGGAAAAAATGGAAACAAAGTCTTTGTAAATAGGGAGGGGTGGAGGAATTGAAGGGAGGGCAGGGGAATGGGGAAAATAAGAACCAAGATACATCGTGTAAAGGTACAAGTTCCCAGTGATGAATGTCATCATATTGTATATCTAAAATGTACCAAGAAACTTAATGAATAAAAAAAAGAATAACTGTTCTGTGAATCACAGTAATAGTATTGTTCTGGCAGTGGTGGTGAACCTGTAGCACTCATGCCACAGCTGGCTGTTTGTTATCATTGAAACCTCTAAAAGGTTTGCCATCACGGGTATACAGTATAGAGTTGTATTTAGACCAAGGCGACATAATTTGATGAATGGAATCTAGCTGTGTCCCCCTGCTGGTCACCAGTGAAAGTACAGACAAATAAGATTATACTCCAAAATTTTTGTCATTCTTATCTATAGTTGCAAAGAATACCTTTTTTTTTTTTTGGTACCGGGTATCGAACTGGGGTCCTTGCGCTTCGCAGTAGGTGGCGAAACCACTGAGCTAAATCCCCAACCCCAAGAATACCTATTTTTAATGAAGGCTAAACACATTTTTCTTAAAATATTGAGTTAAAGAGATGACTTGTCAGATGTTAGCAATTCACTAAGAATACTGCTCTCATTTTCATCTGGCAGAAAATCTATCCAAGAGAACCATAGTTTTGAACTTTGGTTTGGGACATGGGTTGGCAAACAATAACCAATGGCCCAAACCCAATGTCCTACCTGATTTTATATGGTTCAAAAGCTAAGAATCATTTGTACACAGGAGAAATTGTAGTTATTGATGATAGGGAATACTAACTTTGAAGCCCAACTAAAATAAGTGCTAGCTCAACAAAAAAGAATTCCATTCTTCTAATTAGTAAACTTGCATTATAAATGTTTGATTATATTTTGAATTTTATCTATATAATTTTATAAATTTGTTTTCTCTCTAGTTAAGTGCTTATGTAGTATCCTTGATTTTGCCTCGGTGTCCACAAAACTGAAAATACTTGCTGTGTGGCTTTTTATAGAAAATGTTTACCAACCCTTCATTTAGAAGGTACAGATGTCAGCAAGTAAGGTTGAAGATTAAAAAGAAATTAAGCCAAAATTCATTTTTAAATGAATCTGTCACATCGTATTAATTCTTGCAATAATGATATGCACTTTTTCTTTTGTAGAAGAAACCTCCTACAAGTAAGTATACACTTTTAAAAGAATGCTGTTTTTTATCATATCACCTAATATTCTGATAATTGTCCATTTGTAATAGGGCCAGGCGAGTTGGAACTATAGAGATGCGCCACACTCTGAATTAAATGGAATCTTTATTGTCATAGCCGGCTGATCCAGAGTGGTTCATGCCAAAAAGACTCTGGACAAAGGAAAGGCAGTTTGTAGGGTCCTTTTAAGGGCTCTTTTATTTGAGGAGGGCTCAGGGAGTGGGGGAGGACAAACAGAACTTTGGAGGAGCAGAATTTGCTAAACTAGTGGGGTTTGGGAAAGTTTTACACAGTTTAGTTAAAACAAAGTATCACATAGGTACTGGAGTCTTCTGTTTACAAGGTAGTAAAGATAACATAGCTGCAGACTCACACAGGATGCAGTGGTCTGTTATGCATTAACTGAGGGGACTCCCAAGGGGGAAGGGGAAGGTGACCCCCTGAATCACCCGACTTTACACAAATGGAGTCAGGTTGGCTATCACATATTTAAAGTCAAAAGTAGAATATAAGGTTTTAATGTAGATTTAATACTGTGGGAAGTTCTCAATTCATCATGAAATACATCCTACCACATGCCTCATGCCTCAGGCCTATGTGTAAATGATGATTAACTAGAGAAGAAACATGGCCTCTATTTTTACTTTGTAGGTCTTTCCATAGTTCTGACTTTAAAATATGTAGTAATTGTATTTGTATAAACCTAAAAATTTGAAGAAATTTTAGTCATTTTTTACATTTAATTGAATGATGATTTTGTGCCCAACACTATTATAGGGATTGGTAATACAGCGGTGAACACAACAAGCTAAAAAAAAAAAAATCACAGAATGCTGCTTTTTACAACTTATAGTCTAGTCAAAAAAGTCAGAAAATACACAAATACGTATACTATAGAGATGTCAGATTGTGATAAGTTCTACGGAGACCAGCTACTCAGAAAGCTGAGGCAGGAGGATTTCAAGTTCAAGGCCAGCCTTGGCAACATAGTGAGACGACCCCCCCCATCCCCAGACAGAGATAGAGACCGAGATCGAGAGACGGAGAGGGAAAGGAAGAAGGGAGAGGAGAAAAGAGGAAAGGGGAGGGGGAGTGCTATGGGGAAAAAAACAAAGTAAGTAAGAGAAGGAACCTGCAGAGTTGGAGTGGAGCTTATCCTTTTTAGGTACCGGGGATTGAACTCGGGTCCCTGCGCTTGAGCAGCAGGCAGAGAAACCACTGAGCTAAATCCCCGGCCCTAGCTTATCATTTTTAAATAGATGGTGGAGAGGAGCTTCACTGAGAAGTACCTGGAGGAAATCATGAAGCAAGTTACGCAGACATCCATGAGAAGAGTGTTCACGCAGTGGGGTGAGAACAAATGGAAATCGCTCAGGGGCAGGATGCCTAGAATATCTGAAGGACAAAAAGGGGTAACAGGGACAGTGTAGGAAAGAAAGAAGAGATGAGCACACAAAAGTTGAAGGGCCAGATTACATGCAGATTGTGCTAGGCAGCTTCGCAGCATTTGGCCTTGGGTCCGAGTTAAGTAGGAAGACACTGGAGGGCTCTAAGTGGAGAAGTAGCATCACCTTAATTCTTCAAAGCTCAAGCTGGCTGCTCTAATAGGAGTAATGGAGATGCAAAGGGTGGAAACAGGCAGACCAGTTAGGAAACTACTGCAATGATTGAGACAAGAGAAAATGGTATCAAATGGCTGGTATCAAAGTGTAAATTGGAGATGTTGAGGAGTGATAGGGTTCTGGATGTAATTTTAACAGTTTGCTGATCTGCTGGATGCGTGCTGTGAGAAGAAGCAAGAAATGGAAGGTGCCTCCAAGGTTCTAAGACAGATGGGTTAAAACCAGAAATTCCATTTGCAAAAGCATGGAAGATTTCAGAAGGAGCAGGCTTGGGAACAGAGAAGGGGGAAGGCGGCGAGGTCTGCAGTGTTTGGAATTTTCATAGTCAGTGAGCTTATTAGACTTTCAAGTAGGGACAACCAACAAGCATCTGAATGGATGCATCTGGAGTTGGGGGAAACAGCAGGAAGTAGAAATGTGGGAGTCAATGGTGCATAAGATATGGATGAGCTCACCAAACCCAAGATTATGTGCATTAATTTAAGACAGTCCTTGCTGTACAAATGGACCGCGCAGACCGAGCTGTGGGCCTAAGGGCATTTGCCTCTACTCCAGCTGCCACGGCATCAGACACTTTGTCATCTAAATCCTTTGAAGACTTAGCTGTCATTGATTTCCTGTTCCTATATGTTTGTTTGTTGTTGTTCTTGTTGTTTATTTAATTAATTAATTTATTTATTTTTTGGTACCGGGGATTGAACTCGGGTCCTTGCGCTTGCGCAGCAGGTGGCAAAACCACTGAGCTAAATCCCAGGCCCAAAGGAACATTGTTTTTTGGGGGTGTGTGGGGGGGTACCGGGGATCAAACTCAGGACCCTGCACTTGCAAGGCAGGCGGCAGAACCACTGAGCCAAACCCCCTGCCCCCCGTTCCTATATGGATTTCCTGTTCAACATTGGTCTCTCAGTCCTCTAATAATCTCAGTACAAAAGCAGAGTGAAGTTTCAGTTATCAAGATTAACAGTAGCAAAAGAGATGCATTCAGAAGAGCAGGGCAGCTAGATATGTAGCCACCACCTCACCTCAACCCAGCCCTAGACCCCCGGCAATTGCGAGACTTCCACTTTTATTGAGTACCGTGGTAACTGGAGGGTTTTGAGCAGAGGAAAGTTATCATCTTACATAAGTGATGAAGGCTTATGCTTCCTCCCATTAATACCTTATCAAACTAGGTAGTAACCTGGAAAGGAGTGTTTTTATTCTTCGATAACTTTCCTCTCATTTGTTAAATCTATAGCCTTCAAAATTTGTTCAACTTCTACTGAATTCTAATTACCACATGAAACTTTCCATGGACCGAAATGAATTGTGCAAATAATTAAACTTTCAAAATGTTTAATGTTGCCAGGAATGCTGGTGCATGCCCATAGTCCCATATCATTGTGAGTTCAGGAACAGCCTGGACTACAAAATGAGGTCAAGGCCAGCCTGAGCTCTACAAAGTGAGAGCCTGTCTCAAAAAATAACAAAACAAAATATTTAATGTTAGTATGTTCAAAGTTAGTCTCTGGTTTGTGTATTCCACAAAAATTGTTAGTATATTAGCTTTAGGCTACATTTAGGGGCACAAATCTTCACATACCCTAATACAATCGACCTTTGACTTACGAATTCAATTAGTTCCTGAAGGCTGGTGTAACTCAAGTTGGTTGTAAGTCAATACAGCTGAGATCTGGATGTTTACCTGGGAACATGCTATGTATAACAAGAGGCAGATGAATCTTCCATTGACCTAATTAACCCAAGTTGTCCTTATGTCAAGCCAGTTGTAATTTGAGGGCCCATTGTATTATTCTCTTGCATGGTCTTCTCTGTGAATACTGTCTATAAATCTATGAAGTTCAGTTAAGATTGTTGGCTTTTTTTTTAACCTGGCTATGATAAATATATATCTTCCAGCTGAGATATGGAATACCCTAAATGAGAGTGTTTCAGAATTGGAGGTGACAATGTAGTAAATACTATCTTTTGTCTTCCACAAACAGGAAGGGGAGTGCTACATCAAAAGCCACTACAGTGAGTGAAAATGTGAGTATTACTAAAGCAGGTTTATAAAATAGGTGTGTTTAGGGAATAAGGCAGGGCAATGACACAAATATATGGGATATAGTATTTCACTTTTAATAAACTTTGTATTAGTGTCAACTACTGGTATTCAGAAGGATCCAAATAAATGTTAACTTCCTTCCCCTGCCTGGGATGGCATGATAAAGGTACTATACCTGTCATTTGTAGAACAATTACAGGAAGTGATCTTTATAGCGTTTTTTTTCTCTAATGGCATATTCTATTACTAGTCTACTTCTTTAGTATCAGCGGGACTGTCATTTTTAGCTCCATTTGATAGATGAGGAGATTAAGTCACAAATTCTCACAGGATAACAGTTGTGGAGCCAAAACCCAGCCAGGTACCTTGCTTCCTGGCAAGCTGACCATTCGGATCTGTGGTTCTAAGACTTACCTTTGGTTATTCAAAGCACTTGGAGATTTTAAGAATATGAAATATCCTCTGCTGTTGCTCAAAAGAATATTTCCAAAATGCCGGAAAAGCAATAGTCATGTAACTCCGATGGTTTAGAAAGATATTTGGGCCTTTATGAATGCTTATATTTGTAAATACTACGAGGAAGCTGTAAATAACACCATCGCTTGGTGGATATTCAACCTTCTGAATTATTTTTTCAGGAATATGATGAGAGAAGTTTCCAGTGTTTTAGAGGCCTAAATCCTTTCTTGAGAAATGAAGTTGTTTCCTTAGTGCTTTAGAGCAGAGTCTCAGATTTCCCTTCAGTAGAGCATGGTACATCAGTGGACATTAGTATTTTTAATACTGGAATGATTCTAATGAACTAGTAGTTAACATGAAGTTTTTTCTGTAAAAATCTGGTTTTTAAAACCTATCGCAGAAGCCACCAAGTTTTGTAGCTTACTACACTGAGAGCATCCTGTTCTTAGGCTGGGGAACAGGCAATGTGTTACTACTGTAAGTCATATTTATTCTTAGAATTTATAGAAAGAACTCCTTGTGCATGGAATAAAATAATCCCACCACCAAATAGTAAGAGGCACTTTGCGTCGAAATTGAAAGAAAAAAGGCCTTTTTCTTTGCCTTCCTCTCAGCTGATTCAACAGCTCAGAGCTACGTCGCCTTCAGTTCTGTTCCGCCTTACAGCAGAGCTTGTCACCCTAATTTTGAGCCACACTGTCGTGGGGGGCTGTCCCATGCACTGTAGGGTGTGCACTACCATATCCCTAATAAACAGCACTTCCCTTGCTCTAACTACCTGTTGGCCTTTTTATTCTCTCAACTTAATTTCAAGTATCATGTCTTCCAGTATTTACCTATTTAATTCCCAATAAAACAGATTTAATTACATACTGGTTTGTACCTCTAAGATTTTTATAGTGGATATATTTTGATATGACTTAACATGTTTCTTTAAATATGAATTAGTATTTGTTTTTTGAACTTGTTTTTTCTTTCTTTACCTAGGATTTCAAGCACACAAAATCCTTTATAATTTAAGAATTCCACTTTTGAGATACCACCAAAACTACAGCTGTTACCCAAGTTATTAAAGTATTATAAAATCCTTTGTGGTCTTACATTTGGGAAGATGTACATGAGGAAGTGAAATTGGCATTTTACTGTAATTTTTATGAACTTTAACTCACCAGAAATTATTTTAAGCAAATGGTTCTGTCATCACCTAAAATACAATCTGACTTCTTGTGTCTGGACTAAAGAAAAATAGCCAAAATACTTTGTAGTAACATGGGGTCTGTGAAATATTAACACATGTCCTAACTTCTGGAGGAAGCACTGCTGCATACTGCTTGTGAAGTTAATCCAGGAATTATGAACTGCACATATGCTCTGTGCAAGAGTCTGATTTAGGAGGCTTCAGAAAGAGGTTCAGACCTGCAAAAGGAAACCTCCTTCATTCCTACCAGAATCCTGGCCTCCCCTAATATAATCCTTACTGCATTGCTCATTTGTCACTAATGTATCCACAGAAGAGGGGCAGTAGGGCTGGATTTGCACTTTGTTTACTTTTATATCTGAGAACCAAGAACATGAAGAGAAATAGCTACTGATTGGAGCTCACACAGCTACTCACAGGATGATGTAATTCTGAGAGTCAAACACAAACCCATGTGACTTACTCACCCCTCTCCGCTTTCCCCAAGTCATCTCTGAAGGGGCTCAGTGAGCTTGACATCAGAATTTGCCCTAGAGCCTGCCCACCTTTGCAGATACCTTTCTCTGCCTGAGTGCTGACTTCACAATTCGGACCTTAAAAACCAGTCAAAGAAATTCTAAGCTGTCCTGCCTGCATGGTTATGGTCAAGAGGTTGCCAATCCTTATGGTAAGGATTATGGAGAGGAGAAATGTTTGTCTGATGAATAAAATATGGATAAATGAGCTCACTGTGACTCCCTACATCCGACACCTGCTTGATACAAAAGAGGCCCATGAGACACTATGCCTGAAATTTTTTTTAAAAAAGGTCTAATCATGTATTTTCTGATTTAAAGAAGCCTCTGGCTAATGTTATGAGAAATTCCAATGGTTCATTTAATAATAAAAGCAATAATAATAAGGCTATGCTTTTTTTGCTTTTTGTTTTTTGAAACAGGGTCTCCCTATGTAGTTCAGACTGGCCTTGAACTCACTATGCAGTCCAGGCTCAGTTTAAGCTCATTTCATCCTCCTGACTCCTGAGTGCTGGGACCACTGGCATGTGCCACCACATCCAGCCTAAAGCTATGTTTTAAAAGCATTATCTTTTAGAACTGATTTTGATTATTCAGTCAATACTAAAAACAAAATACCAAAGGCACTCCCGGTTCTGGACAAATCTGAATGAAAAGGTCACTTACTATCTTTGACAACATCAAGAACAGTTAATTTGCTTTCAGAGGAATCTGCTCTTTTACCCAGTAGGCAAAGCAGATCCCCAGAATTCCCAGAACAAACTGAACGCCTAGCGTGCGCCTGGCTTCACGTCCCTAGGAAGATGCATGTTGTCAGCCTGTTCCCCTTTGACTTGTCTCTGTCATTCACTGCTTCTCAACAGGACTCCTTCCTGGAAGTCTGGCTTCTGTAACATGGCTCCATCCCAAAAGGCAAATTATCACTCTATTAGTCACAGGTCGGCACTTTCTGTAAAGAGCAAGATACTAGTATTTTAAGCGATATGGTTCCTGTAACTACTTGAGTCTGTCATTGCAAAAGGAGCCACAGACAAGAAAGCAAATGTACATGTTTTCCAATAAAACTTTATTTACACAAACAGCAGGCAGAGTCAGGATTTAGCTCACAGGCAGTTTCTCAAGCCGACAGCAAATGACATAAAAAAACACCCATCTAGAAGCTTTTGTAAAAATCTCACTAAATGTTGCCTATGGTTTAACTGACAGACTTTGCTTTGATTTGAGCAATGTTTTCTTCTTGCTTATGACTCTCAAGGATGCCTCTTCTGGCATACATATCACATAAGATCAACTGCTTCAATTTACAGGAATCTATTTTAAGAGGAAAATGATGCGGTGCCTTAATTTCACTAACAGCTTAAGACATCAAAGTCTAGAGGATTTATTTTACACAGTATAAACATCTAACAGTTTTTGTGCCAAATATATATCATACATCCATCTTAAAATATTGTATACACCCAAGTAAGAAAATCATTGTGTAAAGAATGCTTTCTTCTACATAAAGTATGAACACTAATGTTCCAATTATTAAAACTGTATCTATCTGTGGGTCACTGGTGTCCAGATAACGTGTTTCCATTTGCTCTTTTATTCGAAGCACTTGAATAACAATTGGTAAAATCCCATTGTAATTCTTTGAGGATTTTGATTTTATTTTCCTGCAGTGAAATTGTGTTGTATAAAGATTAAGGCTCAAGAATCTTTAATAACAAGTTCTGTTTTAATATCATTGGTGTTTGTAACCAGATTCGATTTATTTTTACTTGGGATTTTAACCTAAATCTGGAATGACTGTTTTTCAATATAACTTTGCTAAGAACTTCCTTCATCCAACAGCTGGCTTTGTTAAAAATCTACATTAATAAAAATAGCTGAACTGGTTAAACTTTTTAGATCCATTTAACAGTACACAGTAAGAGTCACTCACCTATTGTTCAATAAAACCCAGGAAACTACACCCTTACCATCCGTAGGTACAAGGCTAGCTCTTTAGCTGCTTATTAGAATCTCATCACATCTCAGTTTGGAGGCCTGCCAACTTCTGAGAGACAGAGGGGGGGGGGGAGAGGGAGAGACAAAGAAGAAAAGGAAGAAGAGGAGGGAGACAGAGAACTGTTTTAAACTATACCCTCAGCCCTTAATCTTTTAAAAGTGGCTTTATAGAGCCCTACTCGTAGCCTCATCCCAAAACTTTTCTTCAATCCAGACAGAACTATAAAACTACACTTGAGTTTCTGAGAAAGCTATGACAAAAAAATTTATCATTTCTTCCAGCATTTGGGAAGCTAAGGCAAGAGTATCACAAGTTCAAAGCCAGCCTAAACTACATAATGAGCCCATTTCAAAAATGCAAAACAAAAAATGTTTAAAATAAGTAAATAAAAATAAATCATTTCAGGGCCAGGGATTTAGCTCAGTGGCACTGCACTTGCCTTGCAAGTGCAAGGTCCTAAGTTCAATACCAAGTACCAGAAAAAAATCAATCAATCAATCAATCGTTTCTTCATATTCTGGGTAAGGACGTAACATCTCTCCACAGCAAGCATTCCCTTAGATACGGCGGCTCACCATAGGTAGTAAGTTTGCACTACTGAAGCAAGATTTGCTGCACACTGAGAAGAGTGTGGTAGGGCTATGGGGAAGCGGTACCCAATTTACTCAATGTCTTCATCTGCTTCATTAAAACCAAGCAAAAGGATTTAAAAACAACCCTAAAACACAGAGGTCAATACAGTCAAGTGTAGGTTCAGCATCATCAAATAATTTATTTGCAATCAGAATTAAAAGAACATTGGACAGTTGTAAAATGTATGTTTATTCTGATACTTCTCATTAGTTGTACAACAAATCCATAGCAAACTACCAGATTAATTTTACATTATTTCTTCAGGACTGAGGTTTATCGATGACTTCAAATTTGGGATCTAAGAGGGAAAAAAAAATCTCCAATTAAGGTTAGCCATACTGCAACAAAATACATTATCTAGCATGAAGGTTTAACTCATCGATGTTCTGAATTTTTTTTAGTGAACATTTGTTTCTAAACATCCACACAGAAATACAATAGCTAAACACTTATTCAACACTTTATATGAGTGAGGCTCTATTGACTTCATATCAAATGTGTTTTAACTACAAGTATTACATGAGAAAGAAACTCTCCCCAAGTGTCAGATGAAGATCACACAGCTAGTAAGTGTCAGGATTCAAGGTCAAGCATGTGGACTTCAGAATCCTACCATTCAACCTATGTGTTACATAATTTCCTATACTAATGGCAAACATTTATCTAATATCTATTATTTATGATATTTTTATCTCATATCTTGTACATATTGTGCTCCTAATAAATTTCACATGTAATTGTCATTTAATCCTCTAAATAATCAAAAAAAAGAATATTCACCACCATTTAAAATAGTTCCCTGTAAGAATGAATCTGATCAGAAACGTACCTTCAAATTTGAAGCTAGGGAATGTGTTCATGTCTGCTTTACCATACATTTGCTTAAGCTTAAAAAGCTCTCTCTCCATATCTTGCTGATACTCTGGACCAGTGTCTACAGGTCCTCCAGACGTCCTGTTGGGTAAAGGAGCAAATAAAAGCTAATTTCATGCACTAGTTTAAAAAAGCAAAATTACTCTTCACCATCAAATGTCAACAGACCTTTTAAAGGTATTCATGTAGGGAAAAGTAGACTTTCAGAACAAAAATGTTATTTCCACTTGAATTTCAATTAGATTATTTTAACATGATGAGGTGTCACATAAATAAGCTAACTTTAAACAAATCTCTAACACATAAGGTTTGTTAGTGTCAAAGATACATACTTCGAGTTTCTCAGGGTCTTGAGTTTAATGAGGTATCTGTGGGATCTGGCATAAAGGGCTGGGTCTATTTGAATGTCAGTGCTACCATTTAGTAAAACTGCAACCCAGGGCCGAGGATTTAGCTCAGTGGTTTCGTCACCTACTGTGCAAGCGCAAGGACCGGAGTTCGAACCCCGGTACCAAAAAAACCCCCAAAAACCTGCAACCCAGAGCAAGGGGTGAAGCAGTCCAAACTTTAGCTTTCAGATCTAAAAAAAAAAAAAAATTGAGTCAGTGAACAGTCAGTGTTATCTATTATTATCATCTGAGATTATTATATCAGCCTTCAAAGTGGCCTTAAAAAGACCTAGGGCTCAGTGGCACCGCACACGCTTAGTATGCTCCAGGCCCTTTGTTGATCCCCAGCACCAAAAAAAAGAAAACAAGCTGGTAGTCCCAACATTTGGGAGACTAAGAGTTCCTGGGCAGTCTGAACTACAGTGAGACCCCATCTCAAAATGCAACAAATTAAAATCTAAAAGTAATAAGAAAAAAATATTGTAGTTTTATGTCTCTATAAGTCTATCAAAGAAGTAAATTATTTTAAACCCTCAGAAATTTTGTAATTTAGAAGGGAAAAAATGACATTTACAAACACTTATGCTGCAAGGGAATTAAACGTTAAGCTTTAAAGACATAGCTTAATAAAAATCCAAGTTGAAGAGGAAAGACCACTTTGCTGAGCTAATCAAGAAAACTTCATTTAGCAAAGGTGGGATTTGAGACAAGCCATGCAATTTGGCCAAATCTCAATTTGAGACTGAAAAAACAAAGACACGGTGGGGGTAAAGCACTGGATCTGTATGGGGAACGCTACTAATGCTGACAGAAAAACCAGCAGAACCCAGATCATGCCTGGAATGTTAAGCCTAAGAGTTTGTATTTTATTTGCTAAGCAATAAAATGACAAAATTAAAGTTGTGTTTGGGAAAGAGAAACACAGCATCACGGAGCAGCAGCAGGACCAAAGAGTAATCTAGTAATTCACTGAAGAACATGTGTGTCATAAATGTTACTGCCTTCCTATCAATGAATATCATAAACCAAACAAATTTATAAGTGAAAATTCCTTCTTTTCCCACATGCCTATAATCAAAGCTTTGGAGAATTTGTTAGAGAATTTCTACCAAAAGATACAGACCACTCCAATTTAAGAAAAATGTTTTTTTGAGGCGGGGTCTCGCTATGCAGTTCAGGCTGGCCTTGACCTTGTGGTGATCCTCCTGCCTTAGCCTCCCAAGTTTAGGGATTACAGGCATGTGCCACAATGCCTGGCTTAAGAACTTTGTGTGTGTGTGTGTGTGTGTCCGTGTGGTAGTGGGGATTAAACTCAGAGCCTTTGCACTCAGCTACATCCCCAGTCCTTTTTATTTTTCTTTCTCTAAGAAAAGGTGTTGCCAAGTCATTGAGTTGCCTAGACTGGGCTCAAACTTGCAACCCTCCTGCCTCAGCTTCCAGGTTAGCTGGGATTATAGGCACATGCCACACCTGGTTGACCAGTACATGTTTGTTATGGGTCCTTTCTTTTTGGTCAGCACTGTCCAACAGAAATTCCTGTAGTGACAGAAACACTCTACCTAGCCATATCTGCATACTGACAACTAGAAATACGGCTAAGGTGACTGAAGAACTGAATTCTTATTATCCTAACTGCCAATCTAACACTAACAGCTTTCTCCTATTCTTAATCCATCCTTACTGCTCACTCCATTCCTCATATGCCCTATTCTCCAGAGAAACAGAATTATGCAAGTCCTTCAATATATTTTGTGCTTCCTAATTTTCATCCTTTAGCTCACATCATTTTTTTTTCCTCCGAAAAGAAATCCTGCACTAATTTACCTGTCCAACCTTCCTATCAACTATTCTTATCCTGAGGTAGACCCCTAGTTGTGTGTTCTACATGTTTGTGATGCTAATGGTCTACTGCATGTTTGAGAATCTTTTCAAGCTAAAAGCAAAGTCATGGAAGCAAATTCTGCAATTTTTTTTTTTTTCTTTTTCAACTAGGAAGATGACTCATACACTATCAGATTTTCAAGAGGGATGAATAACCCCAAACACTGCCCTCAAAGGCATGATAAAACATTAACTGTTCCAAGAAGCCTAAGCCTTCAACCAGATAGGTACATTCTGTCCTATGAATTCTCTACACACTACTGTATATCGCTCTCTTACCCCCTAAACCATTTACCTTATCTTATCTACAAGCTTTCTACCCTGATCAGATTTTAAGATTATAAAAATACAGTGTGGCCCACCACACTTAACAGCCCAGTACTGTGTACAAGGTAGACAGCTAAATGAAAAGAAAATGGAACTCTAAATTGACATACTCTACTTTTCCTAAGATTTGCAGGATGGACCTAATGATCACAAAGGTGGTCATTCATCTCTAAAACAGTACGGCTCTGTAATCATCATACTCCTGGTGTTAATACATGCCATTTAGAGTCTTTTGCTCTTATGAAAACAGCCTTAAAGGAAAAAAATAATGCTGTTCATACTTCTCCCAAAGCAGGATGTCACAGAAAGGGCATTGTGAGAATCAGAACACTTTATGTTTTCTCCCTATTAGTTCTTATGGTCTTAGGCTAATCATGGTCAAGGGCCTTACTTTCCTCAAAAATAGCTGCTAAAATGATTTCCAAGATAATGATCTTATAGGAAGGATGTGTATTTAAATGATAACAGATTTAATGGACTTCTCCCTTGGATTCCTTATGAAGAAGTTTGTACTTCAATCATGAAGCTCACATACTATCAATATTTATATTTATACTGTGGTTGGTTGTCCACTTACTGTCGCTTTGACTTGTATTCTCTAATCTTGTCCACGAAGAGTTTCTGAATAGGATCAAGGTGCTTATTAAATGCCACTGCTGTAACACCAATGTTCCTTCGAAAATGGACAGAGACCGCCGACCGAACAACAGCGGAGAACCTGAAGAGCCTCTGAAGAATCATGGTGATTCTATAGTAGTAAAAACAGCGTCAGAAGGCTAGCATACTTTTGTAAAACACTCTCAATAGATCACAGTGTGGGAATCTAATTCTAATTGCTACAGAATAACTAAATAATACTGGAACTGAGTCTGTACCAGACCTCTTTCCTCTCATTCCCTACTGCAAGTTTTCTGCTTCTTACCTATGGGCCCTAGGAACTAGGAGCAGTTAGGAAAAACTCAAGCGTGAAAGAACAAAATCTGGGATGAGTTTTGTTTTCCACGAACTTAGTCTTGGACCTGAGGAAACAGTAGAGGGCAGAACAATGTCCACCCCTAGTAGGAAAGGAAAACTTGCCCCCAAATCAATGTGCTAGGTTTCTCTGACCCCTCAAAAGGCCAAAGGGCACAGACTAGAGACAGCTACTTCAGCCAGGAATGATACCCTGGAAGTTTGCATTTCAGAGACACACAGCAGAAAGAATGCTTCACCTGTTCCAACTGCAGGACTCCAGCCATTCAAGAACATTGTAACTACAATCAACATCCAAAAGAAAGACCGAAAAAGAATAGCACCAAGGGCCAGGGATTTAGCCCAGTGGTTCTGGTGCCTGTGTCGCAAGCGCAAGGTCCTGAGTTCAATCCCTGGTACCAAAAAAAAAAGAATAGCACCAGCTCACCCCAACCCTGCACCTGCAGAAACAGGGGAAGATTAGAAAATACACCTATCTCATCCATGAAAAAGAAGAACCTGTAAAGAAGATAAAAATCCATTTTTTCCCCTGGTGCTTGGGATATCCAACTCAGGGCTTCATACATGCTAGGTAAGTACTCTACCACTGAGCTACATCCCCAACCCTGAAAGTCCAAATTTTAAAAATATGGACTTAAAAGACTTTCTAGAGCTAAAATACTTTATTTATTTATTTATTTATTTTTGAGACAGGGTCTTGCTTTGTAGTTCAGGCTGGCCCTGAACTCACTACATAGGCCAGGATGGCCATGAACTCTTGCTGCTCCTCCTGCCTCAGCCTCCTGAGTGCTGGGATTACAGGCATGAGCCACCATGCCCGGGGAAATACATTATTTTCTAACTTATAAAATGTCAGTAAAATATAGATACATCAAAAGGGGAAGATCCCTGTTAAGACCTGATTTAGTGATTTAGAGATCAAATATAAAATATTCCGAACTACAACAAAAACATGAAAATAGAAATTTAAAAAAGAAATAGATGGGGCCATAAATAATTACTAGTAGAAAATGTTCCTCAGCTAAAAAATTAGTCTATAAATGAAAAGGGCTTATTGAACCCTAAATCGGATGGCAATAAAAGATTTATAACTCAATACAGCTGGTAATACCGTTCCCCCCCCCCCTTTTTAAATTAGAGTCTCATTATGTTGCCCAAGTTGACTTCCAAGTCCCAGATTCAAGTGATAGCTCTGCCTCAGCTTCCTGAGTAGCTGGGATTACAGGCACATACCACTGCACTCAGTGTAGCCTGGGAGCATTTCTGAACCTTAAAGTCAAAACCAGATATGTTAATATGCTTCCCACATCCCTTCACAAATTACCATCAAGAGCATCACACCAGCCTTCCACTTCTATTAAGTTATCAGAATGGACCAGTGAAAGTATACAAACTGTTACTGGTCTATAGTAATAGAGAAATTGGGGATAAGCATTTAGAAACTTTTATGGCAATTCAACAAAGTAATTTTTTCCTTGAACTTAATAATAAAAAATGAGAATTTGTATTATGTGTGCCTAGTTTGTTTTCTTTCCTCACTTTTCTGGTAATTCACTTTTATATTCTTCAAAAGTATCCACAGAGGAGGGCAGACTGGCCTTCTACCACTGCAGGCTTGGGAAGCATCACCTATAAGACAGTGCAATTCCATAATGATTCTCAAATAGGGGAGAAGATGGAAGAGGGGAGATTCTTATTTCCCAGAAAATATTTGGCAGTGTCTGAAAACATTTTGGCTGTCCTGATTAGGTTGAGTGCTACTGGCCTCTAGTGGGCAGAGGCCAGGGATGCTTTTAAGAAATACCCATGGCCCAATTGTCCAAACTATCACAAACCCTGGAGTAACGTACAAAAACTAGAAAGGAAACCAATCAACAAGAGATCCTCCACTGGCCAAGGGAGAAAGTAACCATTTGAAAATATTACAGAATTCACATATTCCTTGTACACCCTATCAGAGAATAATACTTGAGAAAAGATTACAAGAAAACAACAAATGACCTTATCAACTTCCTTTTTTTTTTCCTTTGGTTTGTTGAGACAAGCTCTCACTATGCAGTTCAGGCTGGCCTTGAACTCACTGTGTGTGGCCCGGATTGGCCTTGAACGTACAGTGATCCTTCTGCCTCAGCCTCCCAAGTGCTGGATTACAGGGTTACAGGCATGCGCCACCATGCCAAGCTTACCTTTTCTATTTTTAAACATAGAGAAACTCAGGCTTAGAGGATAAATACCTGGTCCAAGATTACATAGTAGAATCTGACTCAACACAAATACATAAAAATATCGCCCAACTCAATGTTCTGGCAATGTAAGGACAGGCTTAACACCCAGCAGTAAGCCAACCTAACATTTTTTCAGCGCTGAATGTAGCCCCCTTGCATCCTTAAAACAATATTAAGAAGTTAAAGTTCTTATCTGTAAAACAGATAATAACATTATGTCTCAGAAAGGTCATTAAATTGCCCACATACCTAAAGTTAAAGTGCTCTAAAGTTGACTGCAAAGATCATGTTATTCCTACTATAACTTAGGAAAAATCCATTTTCGGTTTTCAACTATCTACCACCTAAATATTAACAATTCCCAAAAACAGATCAGTACTTTGGCCTTTTTCCTGAACCCGTTCTTTTCCCTAACAGCTCTCATATCCTAAATTCTACAAACTCATCCACACAATGAACACATGATTTCTTATCGAAAGTTGTTGCTTCTCCTGTATTCCCTTTCATTTTGTCAAAGATAAAGTGTGGATTATCCACTATCACACAGAAGACACATCAGCACACACTAAAATGCCATCTGTGACAAATACTCTATTCAAATACAATCAGGTTCTAGGAGACTTTGTTAGGAATTTGTCAAAAAAAAAAGAAAGACGGGACGACATTAACAAGGACAAAGTCCATGTGGTGGGACACAGCATGGTTCTGCTATCTGCAGTAACGAACAGCCAAACCAACTTGCTGGCTCTTCGGAACACGACCTTAAACTTAACCAAGGAACTATCTAAGTCCGAGCACCACGATCACTTCTAAGCGGGGCGTAAACAGCCCTGGTCCCTCTAGGACCCATGACCTGCCCCCGCCCCGCGCCCCCAGCTCGAAAGATTCCCGAGTGTTCTGGCTGGGCAGGCCCGACCTTGGGCTGCCCGGGCGGGCTGCAAGCCACGACCCCTCGGCCTCCCTGCCTCCCCCCTTTGCCCACACAGTGTTGTAGTCATCGCTTCTACGACAAACTCCAAGGCCGAAGTCAGCTGTGACCCCGGGACAGAACGTGAAGGCGTCAAGGACACTGGGCCGCTCTCCCTAGTAGGGCAAGGGTGAGAGGCAGCCTGAACCCTGTGAAGAAACCCAGAATCGTAGTCCCAAGAGGCCACGCTGGCCTCACTACCCTCCCAGTCACCTTGCACTCAGTCCCGAGTTCCCAGAGCCACCGCCGCCGCTACCGTTCTACTTCCGGCCCTAGCTCCGCCCCCACACGCCAGCCGGCCATCGCAATGCATTGTGGGCCACCGTTTCAGTCGTTCGACGCTTACCGGACAGGAAGCGTCTCGGAGACTGTCTGCGACCGGACAGTTCTAGGTGAGACAGAAGGCAAAGAGGAGGAGGAAGTGGAGGGTAAGTGCTTCCGGGTCCCCGGCGAAGATTCCGCCATCTTTCCTTCGCCTAATTTGACTCACTCTTTTTCCTCTTGGACACTTTGCTTTGTATGCATGCGCACGTTGGACTGTCTCCTAGTTCAAGCTCCACTCGGGTTCAATGTCCGGTTTCTTGAGGATGTTGAGTGTGTACGGTCCAGGGAAAGTGAGAGTTCAAGCAAAGCCGATTGCGTTGTGCCTCGTGAGCCTCCGTCGCCCCGGGCGTTCGTGCCGCGCACCCTGCTGGGAGTTGTAGTCCTGGACCCGGGGTGCCTGGGAGGCGGGAGAGGGCTTGGGGTTTCTCGGCGCCGATTCCGCGGGAAGGGACCGGGGGCCTTACACTTGGAGTCGGGGCAGCTGCGGGTCTTACCTGGAGAGCCGCTGCACGTGGAGTCGGCGCCGCTGCCGTTCTCAGGGGGCTCTGGAGCGCGGGCCAGGGCGACGGGGCCGAATCCGGAGCGGGTGAGTGTGGCCGCGCGGGAGGAGGGGAGCGCGGGCCCGCGCGGCGGCCTCGTTCGGGGCCTTTTCCCCCCAAGCGGCCCCCCCGCTGCCGCCTCTGTGTTTTGTTTCCGCTGGTCCCCGACGTTGCGACTCCCATTTCCGTTCGTGGAGACTTGAGGGAGCCGGGTGGGGAGGGGCGGGAGAGGCTGAGTGGGGAGCGGAGGGGAGGGCGGCGGCGCGAGCGGCGCGGGCCCGGGGGCCGCTCCCTTCTCTCCCCGGCCCGTCCTCGCCTAGGGTCGTCCACGTTGAGCTTCTCTCTCCGCGGTCGGCATTGTCCTGATGCCCCAGGATTTCATAGGAGGACGCAAAACCCAGCGGACTCAACGCTTCACTCATTGTAAATCCATGTGTCCTACGTAGAATGGGCTCACAGTTGCTCCAAACCCAGTTATTAATATGATTCCTTTTATTAAACGAGGAAGTCAGCCACGGAGACCGCAGTGGGTTAATGCAGTTTGCCAACTTCTTGTTTTCTGGGTCTACGGTGTACATATTTGGATGTAGGGATCCCAGTTTGGCAGGGAGGACAGTGCCCAATGTTGCATTGCGAGATGACGGGTAGTAATTTAGAATTCAATCCACTTCATAAGTAGTTTCTGCTATTAGTAGTCTGATGGGAGGAGCACAGATCTACAAGAGTTTGTAGTAACATTCTTAGTCACAAGAAACGGGTCAGCGCTTCAGAACCTACTTCATGGGAATAGATTCTCCCTCAGTTTGATCCAAACTTTTCATGCCGATCCCGGGTGGATTGTATATACAGGAGCGTGTGTCACGAGAGGTTGATACTCCTGAAGTAACAAATAATGAGCTACATGTTAAGTTGAAGCAAGTCATTAGAGAATGCACAGGTTGAGAACTAAATTAAGACTGACGACTTTGGTCTTCTATGTTTATAAAACCCTAAATCTACAGGAAAATTGAAAAAAGTCACAGTGAGCATCCACATATCTTTCACCTGGGGGTCATCAGCTGTTCACTTTTCATCATATTTGCGCCCACGTGCACATATAAATGCTTTTTGTTAAGGTAGCAACTTTAATTTTTTTTTTTTTTGTACTGGAGATCGAACTCAGGAACTTGCGCTCATGAGGCAGGGACGGCGCCATTGAGCTGCATCCCCGGCCCAGCAACTTTAATTTCTTAAAATAAAAATTGTCTTTTCATTTCCTCTGATACTTAAAAGTGCTTGTTAAGCTTGGAAAAATGTGTAGTTAATGATGCAGGTACTTCCAGACTGCACTTATTTATCCAGTACTCGGAAAAAAAGGTCCTAAGCTCTTGGAGAACTAAAGTGTCAACGTGTGTAAAGCTGTTTTATGTCAGGGGAAGATGCACCAAGTAATGTTCTCATCTCCGTTTTAAGTAATGACATGAAATTCAGAGGAATAGGTTCCAAAAAAAGAGCTAAGACAGTCTCGCTCCAAAGAATTGCACAGTTTCTCAAATCTCTACATTACTTTTCTAGGCTTAAGTTTGTAGAACTGAGAGCAAGAAAGATCAATTCAGAGACTGATAATGATTTTTCTACAAGTGAATGAGGGTCATTTTTTCCCTGTTACTTTGCACCTTCTAGGAACTATTCTGTAATATTTTTGGGGCCGGGGATTTAGCTCAGTGGTTCCAGTGCCTGCCTAACAAGCGCAGGTTCCCGAGTTCAATCCACGGTACCAAAAAAAAAAAAGCTTCTTCCTGTAATATTTTTGGTAGATCAGAGATAAATTTCTTCTAACAACTTCTAGTGCTTGCGCTAAAGGGAACCCCTGGTACCCCTGCTGATAAGCCAATTAAGGCCATTTCTCAGCCTCCATCACTTCATATACTGTACTTTTCTGTTTTTCCAGAACTCCTAGAAAATCCTCTTATTTTCTAATCTTTTAAAAAAAACTGGTGATAGGAACAATCTCCATGTAAGGCTCTGAAAATAAAGCAGATAATCTTAAGTGCTATTCAGTTATAAGCTTTGTTTTGAACTTTTTCTGAATATAACAGTTTTTTTAAGATTATCTGGGAGGAGTGGAGTAACCCCCAGAACTACCAGATAATCAGGAGGCTGAGGCAGGAGTATTTTCTTAGCCCGGGAGTACCAGATCAGCTTGGGCAACATAATGCGAACCTGTCTCAAAGACAAAGAAATAAAATGTATTTATTTTTTGCAGACATTCTTTCCATATTTTTGACAGGTGCTAACAGTTAGTTTTATGTCCTTTTTCTGTGTTTTTCTTTTATGAGTACTTTTCTACCATTAATGCTTGGTTTGGTGTCAGCTTTCAGTTACCACCAGTGAATCTGCCGGGAACATAACCTCAACTAATTTGAGAACTTCTCTGGAATGCTTATCTGGCAGTGAGATTGCTGTGTCATAGGTATAAGTATGCTTGATTTGAGAACAGCAAGATTTTTCTCTGGAGTATCTACTTCTATCTAAACTGAGATAAGAGTTGTATGTCTTCATGCGCCTGCTACTTTTTTTGCTATTCACCTTTCTAACACTGGCCACACACGTGTGTGGGTGCGCATCCATACACTGAAAGTGCTGGTTTCTTGTTTTAAATTGCAGTTTTGAATTTAAGCATTTCCTTGTATCCTGAGTCATTTAGGTTTCCCTTTGCATGAATTTCCTTATCCTATGCTTTTCCTGCTTTCTTAGTCTGTCTCAGCTTTTTTTTCCCAAGAGATTTTTGTCTATTCTATTTTTTAGTCCCATGTCACTTTTCGGTGTTAGAGATATCTTTTTCACTCTGTAATTTATATATTGAACATAAATCTTAATCTTTGTGTAATTAGATTAATATTTTATGTTTATGTTTTGAGAATTTATAAAAAATCCTTTTGTGTCCTTGGACTACAGAAAAGAAATGCCCTGTGTTTTATTAGCTTTATACTCTTGCCCTTAAGCCTTCAGGCATTTTGAATTTTGTATATGGTGTGAAATAGTCCCCGTAAAATTCAACATAAGTTAATTTTCTTCACAAATTAATGGAGTACCAAGGGTGAAACACTATTTACTTTGTATAGATCTGACTACATAGCCTTGCTTTTATGATATTAATTAGATGAATCCCGTTTTTCACGTAGCACCAGTTAAGGAGAGTTGATTGGGAAGAGAAGACTTTCTGGTCTAGTATCAGTCAGAAAACAAAGGTTCCTCATCTTTTCATCATCCCCAAGAGATGTGTGCTAGAGCCTATGTATGTGCTCGATATGTGTGGTACCTGTGTTCTCCAGTGTAGAGCTCTGCCTCCTTAGTATATTTTTTTGTACCTGGGATCGAACTCCTTAGTATTCTTTCTCCTTTGGGTGCGGCTTTAATAATGTGGGGAGAAATTAGGGCGGTTTTGTACCAGGTGGGCTAGATTCAGGTGCCAGCTATTTACAGACTGAAGCGGTCAGAAAACCAGTTAGCGATAATAGGACCTGAGAAGAGGTGCAGCCCTTTCTAAACTGGAAGGGAGACTGTTAGTTTTCTACTCTGATTATAATAAATTTCTGCAAATCTAGTAACTAGTAAGCCCCACTAACTTCATATCTTACAGTTCTGGAAGGTGTAAATCTGAAGTAGGTCTCTAAGTTTGAGTCAGGTATGGGCAGGCTGCATTTCTCCTGGAGCCTCCAAAGGAGAACCCCATCCCTTGGCTTTGACCACTGTTCTCCATTCTCAAAGCCAGTCACAGATGACCAGTTGAGTCCTTTTGCACATTGAATCACTCTAGCTGTCTTTTCCAATTCCCTCTTCTACTTTTAAGGAGCCTGTGATTTCACTGGGTCCATCAGGATAATCTAGTATAATCTCTATTTTTGTGTATGTTTGACTGAGTTTTGGTTTCATTTGGTTTGATTTTTGTTTTTGGTTCAAGGTCTTGTTATGTAGTTCAGGCTGCCCTGAACTACTGGTCGTACTGGTCCTCCTGCCTCAGCCTCTCTACTGCTGAATTCACAGGTTTGCACCATCATGCCCAGTTAATCTCTAATTTGAAGTCAAACTGATTAATAACTAATTCCCTCTGCCCCTTGAATCACCGTTGCCATGTAATTTTACAGATTCATTGGTTCTGGATTATTATTCCTACCACAAAGGCCTCAATCTCTTGAAAAATTAAGACCTGGTAAGGCCCCTCCCACTGCAAAAAGTAGGGGAAGTTCTAGTCCAGGCAAATCCAGCTCATCACTTTTAGGCAGTTTTAGTCTTTGCACTTTGGTGAAGATCCAACAGAGGAAGAAAGACAATAAATTAATGACATAGTGTATTAAAGGGTAAGTACTGTGGAAAAAAACATAAAGAGACAAAATTAAATAGAGATAGCCAGGGTAAATTTAATTTCGCTGAGAAGCTGAGCTTCAGGCAGGACGTTTGGAGCAGCTCAATTTCAGGCAGAAGCAAAGAACATAGGGCAGGAAGATGCGAAGAAGCTAATGTGGGAGAGGGAATCAGCAATAGTGGGATACAGATGGGAAAGATCATGCAGCGCCTTACTGACCGTTGGAAAGTCTTCAGATTTTACTATGACTAGAATCCATCAGGGAAGTGCTGTGATCTAAGTGCTTTTACAAAGATCACACTGGCTGTTGCACTGAAAGTGTACAGACTCAAGCCAAGGCAGACACTGAACCCTGTTAGGATACTGTGTTCCAGGGAAGAGATGACTTTTGTACTAGTACATGCAATACAGCCTGTCTCTGAACAAACCATAGTTGGCTCTGCTTGTGTATTTAGGTAGATACATCTGTTCTTTTTCTATTGCTGTTTTTTGTTTTTTCTTGGTAGTACTGAAAGTTGGACCCAGGGCTTTGACACTGAGCTACATCCCTAATCTTGTTGTGTTGTTGTTTTGCTTCTAGACAAGGTCTCACTAAGTCGCCCAGGCTGGGCTGGAACTTGTGATCCTTCTGCCTAAGCCTTCTAAAGTGGGGTTACAGGCATGTGCCATTGCCGCCCTGCTCTTTTTGGAGTACTGGGAATTGAATCCAGGGACTTCACACCGTGCTACCTCCCCTGCCCTTTTTATTTTTTATTTTGAAATAAGGATCTCACTAAATTGCCCAGGTGGGACTTTGCCAAGACTTGCACAGTGTAGAGTCCGAAGCCGGGGAGAGCAGTGGGAGATGAAGAAACGTGAAGCCTAATAAGAAGGAAAGATACATTCCAAAATTAAGCTTTATAGCTGGGACTGGGAGGGATGAGCTAATGGCTGCCTGGCGTCCAGTGTGCTCTTTATTTATAGTGTAGGAAGGCGGGGTAACTAGTGCCACGTGTGGCCTAGGCTGAACGTGATTGTCTCGTGATTGGGAAATGTGCAGAAAATGAACATGGATGTATAATGTAACTGTGTCCTGGGGCTGTGCCATCCAGGATGACTCTAATCTATGGAGGAGAAAGGGAGAAGGGATTAGGCGAAAGGCCGTCTTCCAGGGCTTGAACCTGGAGCCATCCTGCCTCAGCCTCCCAAGTACTGTGATTACAGGCATATGCCACCTTGCCTATCTATAATACATTTACAGTGACAACGTAGAGTTAGAGGCAGTTTAGTCTAGAACATTACTTTTGAATAATGTTCATATGACAGTGGCTCAAACTAAGACTTTTCTGTATAAAATATTTAAAGGCAGCACCTGGCTCTGGACCACAAATGGTAATGGTTAATAATAATGAATATTTGAATTCATTTTGTCAAACCTTGTAAGGAGCAAAGACTACTGGGCAAATTTAGGGAGATACATCTGTTTTAGATGTGGGGATAAACTTAAGAAACTCTAGTCTGAAGGTGCTGTGCATTAAGATAACATGAATCCAAAGATGTGCATTGACCTACAATAAGGCAGTTAATAACAGAGCCTGAAACTTGTAGCATTAACATCTTGAAAATGAATTGGTTTGCAAAGGAATGCGAACATTTTTAACTATTTCATGCTTTATTTGACATTTTTTAAATTGTATTTTTGTCTTGGTCTTTTAAGACAGTAAGTAATTTATGTGAGATAATTAAAAACTAAGTAGTTTGTTTAAAATACAACTACATCTGAAAAAAATCTTTAAAAATTTTTAGTATATAATGGGGCAATAGTGTGCATATTTCTTTATTTTACTATTTTGAAACATTGTGTTTGCATTTATAATTTTAAATTCTAGATGTGATTAGGTTAATTTATATCACTTATCAGTATTATACTTTGCAGTAAGTATTGCTAATAAGTACAACTTTTTAGCTAATCAGTTGTAGTTCATCTCCATGTTAAGCTTCTGGTTTGAATCTAGGATGCTTTAATGTAGTTAACCTTCACTGGATTTTGAAGTCCCTTCAATTAATTTTTTGACTAAGGCTAATAAACACCAGTTTAAACAAAAACTAGCTTGTGAACATCATTGTGGATTTTCTTTTATATGTGAAGAATATTTCCCCCTCTTCTGCTTTATTTGAATTCTGCATATCTTATGTATCATTTCTGTTTATGCAGATAATTTCAAAACTGAAAATTTAACTCTTTCAGGACTGAGCTCTGAAAATACTTCAACCATGACTAAAAGAGAAGCAGAAGAGTTGATAGAAATTGAGATTGATGGAACTGAGAAAGCGGAGTGCACAGAAGAAAGGTTGGTATTAAAAGGGACTATAGAGTAGCAAAGGACAAGACGGGATAACAAAGATTAATTCCAGTACTGAGTTAAGGGTATAGCTGCAGTTTAAAACCTTGTGTCTAACAGAGCTTTCAGCATGTCTGATTATGTTATGTTTTTTAGCAGAAAATACAGTGCAAGGTTCTCTTGATTTCCATTTAACATTTATATGTGTAACAAATTATCCAAAAACTTAGTAGGTTAAAACACCTGCCATGTTTTGTTTTGTTTTGTTTCATTTCATTTTTGCAGTACTGGGGGGCAAACTCAGGGTTTCAAGCATGCTGGGCAAGCACTCTACCATTGAGCTATATCCCTGGCCCCCAACATTTAATTAATACCGAGCATTGTTCTCATAAGATCAGCAGCCTGGAAACAGCTTAGCTGGGTGGTTCTGACTCTTGCAGATAATGCATGAGTTTGCAGTTAAGTTGTCATTCTGGGCCACAGTCATCCAAAAACTTGACTGGAACTAGAGTATCTGGTTCTAAACTCACTCATGAGCCTCTTGGCAGGATCCCTCATTGCCTTACTACATGGGCCTCTCTCCAGGGCTGCTCATGGCGTGATAACTGGCTTCCCCTAATGTAAATCGTCTAAGAGGGGCTACCAAGATGGAAGCCACAATCTTTTTAGGTGATTAACCTAATCTACAAAGTCATATATCACACTTGCCTTCATTTTTTGGCCACATACTCCAACCCTGGTGCAATGTGGGAGGCAACTATAAAAGGGTGTGAATATTAAGAAATAACAGTCATTGGGAGCTTTCTTGGAGCCTACCATGAATATGTTTAATACACATACCTCCATTTGGTCTATAAAGCCTAAAATATTTACTCACTGGCCCTTTACATATGTCTAGGTAGAAAAATTAGTGGTTACTGTGGTAACTTGTGTGAGGAATCAGTAGTTGCTTTTCAGCTATAGCAGATTGTTACTTTCTAGGAATTGAGGGCTAGTGTTATGAGATCACCAATATTTTTTTCAAGAGAAGTTGATAATTCAAATTTTTTAATTTCCCATGGTTTAAATCATAGCAAAAGAGTTTTAATATTCAGAATATATACAGAATATAGGACTTTCAAAAACCTGTCTCAAAGCAACATTAGAATCTTTTTTTTTTTTTTTTTTTGGTACCGGAGATCGAACTCGGGTCCTTGCGCTTGCACAGCTGGCGGCGAAACCACTGAGCTAAATTCCCAGCTCAACATTAGAATCTTTTAAAAATCATTGTTATAAAAAACACAAAATGATGACCTCTTGTGCTATAGCTGAAAATTCTGGCAGAAATGTTTACCTAGCCCAAAAAAAGAGTGAATATTTTTCCATCTTAACAATGAAAATATTGTACTATTATTTTAAAATAAGTTTGTATTTTTAGTCATGAGTGTTCTGTTTTATAAATTTTCAATGTTTCAGGAAAAATTTGAGCTACATACATTTATTAAATATCTCATTATTTTTAGAATGAAATATCTCATTATCCTTAGAAATTACATGAATGAAAGTTGGCAATTTTTTTCAGTACATACTGTTTTTGACAATTGCAAATAAGATTTAAATCAAATTAACCATGCTATGGAATTTAATTGAATTTCACATTCACCAATTCAGCAGTTACTTGGTGTCTTTGTTCCTGTTGTGCAGGGAAGTGAACCTAGGGGAGTTCTACTGAGCTACATCCCCTCGCACTTTTTATTTTTTGTTTGGGGGCAGAGTCTCACTTAAGATTGGCCCAGGCTGGTCTTGACCTTAGGATCCTCTTGCTTCAGCCTCCCAGGTAGCTGAGATTACAGGCAAGTACCCCCATAACCAGCAGTTTCTGGCTTCTGTTCAGGCTCATAAACATTAACAAGAAATATGTAGAATTGCTTACCAAGCATTTTAATCTCTTTAGATTCAAAGTGTAAAATAAGAACACAAAAGAACTCTAAGAAAGTTTTAAGGAAGAATATACTTTTTTTTAAATGTGGAGCTGTGGTAATTATAACGAGTAGTGTTAAGATTAAATGAAAGGTACACTTTCGTATCTTATTTTATACTTATGTATAAAATAAATGTAAATATTTTTCCTTAAATATTGTACAGGCAGTATGTATATGTGTACACACACATTTAATATATATGTTCAATGAGGTATATTTTCATGGATGCTTTAAATTTGAAGTTAGCTGTGAAATTTAGAATTCAGTTTGGCAATGCAGGTTAGTGATGAACCTGCCACAGTATCTAAGAAGAAATATGTTTTCAAAGACCATAAATGTGCTTTGGTTTTAAATTTTGTGTTGAGCATATTATCACTTTAAAATCCAAGGAAATGATTGAATTATTAACCTTTGTGCCCTTTAACATTTAGCATTGTAGAACAAACTTACACCCCAGCTGAATGTGTAAGCCAGGCCATAGACATCAATGAACCAATTGGCAATTTAAAAAAACTACTAGAACCAAGACTGCAGTGTTCTTTGGATGCTCATGAAATTTGCCTGCAAGATATCCAGGTAATTTTTTTTTTCAGATTCATATTTCAGCATTTCAATCTGCATAGACTATTTTTTGTTAGCCTTTTATATATATAGCTCTGGCTTTTGTTTCTATAAATGGATTTTCCCTGTATTATGGTAAAATTTAAACATTTATTTAAAATGCTTTATCAAAGTCTTTTAGGAAATTTTTTCTCTTTAAAATTAAAAGATTGAGCTGTAGGGGCCCGGGATTTAGCTCAGTGGTTCCGCCACCTGCCTCACAAGCACAAGGTCCCAAGTTCGATCTCCGGTACCAAAAAAAAGATTGAGCTGGGCATGGTGGTGCATGCCTGTAATCTCAGTACTCGGGAGGCTGAGGCAGGAGGATTGTTACAACTTTGAGGCCAGCCTAGGTTACTTGCTGTGTTCCAGGCCAGCCTGGACTACATAATTAGACCCTGGCTCAAAAAAAAAAAAAAAAAAAAAAACATTGAGTACTAAGTCAGATATTTGCTTTTTACTTTCACTAATAAAAAAAGAGAAATTAAATTAAATCAGAGCTTAAATATACAGTGTAGGGTAGTGGGAAGCACATTGACCTTGAAGACTGAAGAAGTATATTATTTCTAACTGGCTTTTAACTTCTTTGTGTGTCAGTTACAGTTAAAATGTGGTAAACACTTTTTCATATTCTCTTCTATTTTCTCTGAATAAGAATGTAAATATCAACTGATGTTTCTTGGTATTTATTTCAATAGGATTTTACCCATTGTGTTAAAGTAATATGTTTAAAGCATATTCACAGTTATGTTTTATGAGACTCTTTCAAGAAAGATAGTATTTTCATGTTTAAAAAATAGTAGCCTAAATAGAATTGCTTATATAGTTTCTCCATGACCGTCGTTAAACAGAGTAAGTATTAGAATTTTATGTTTTTATACTGACATATGAATGTATATTGTAGCCTTCATAATATAGTTATTCCATGTATTACAGAACTTTGGCTTAGTTTTTTAAAAAGTCTGAATCATATGCTGCTGTTTTTAAGATTTTTCTGTACAATAAGTTGAAATGTGTTAGTGAAATTTTTCCTCTTGTTGTATGTATCATAAATGGTGGTGATGAGAGACTATTGCTCTGACAAAACTAGGGGATATGGTTGAGTCTAGCTAAGCTAAAATTTGTGTGCTTAAAGTGTTTCCTCTTAACAGTGAGATTAACACCATCTTTTTGGAAGGCAGCCTGGCATTTAGTATCTGTTAACGTTAGTGTGAATTGTTCTTGTAGATATGCTCACCTGCATGGGCAAAGGTATGTGTATGAAAATGCTTATTCATGGTTCTGCCAAGACTGGAAACAATTTAAATGTTCCAAAATCTGGAGTGTCAATAAATAAAATCCATCAATAAATAGATCAGAATTAAGACTGACATTAAAAATTGCTGAACTAGCCAGTGAGTCATGGTGGTGCATACCTATAATCTCACCACTGGGGAGGTTGAAGCAAGAGGATCACTGTGAGTTTGAGACCAGCTTTGGCTATATAGTCAGTTCAGGGCCAGCCTGAACTAGGAGACCCTGTCTCAAAAAGAAAAATATTGGTAAGCTACAGTTTATAAGGACAGATGTATTGAGTAAAAAAAAATATATTTGCAAAACACTTCCAAGTTATCATACCTAATCTTTATATTGTTCTTTCAAATCAACATTATTAAATCACATTTTGCAGGTGTAGAAACTGAAATTTAAAGAGTTAAATAATTTGCCCAATTTTTAGCTACGTTGGGGTGCACTGGAATTTGAACCCAGGCCAGTGTGACTGCACATATCTCTTTACTTGTTTGAGGCAGACATTTTAAAGGTTTGTGCTGGATGTGCTGGCTTACATCCACAATCCCAGCTATTCAGGAAGTTGAGGCAGGAGGATCATAAATTGTAGACCAGCCAGGGCAATATAGAAAGGCCTGGTTTCAAAATAAAAGTAAATAAGAGCTAGGACAAGAACAGAAAGACAAAAAAGAAAAAAAAAGAAGAAAGTTTGTAGGGAATAACTCAATGGCACTGAATGTTACCTGATAGATTTTTCTCATATTGTAAAATAGTGCGGAATCTGGGCTTAACCTCTTAGTTGTCTTTCAGGGTTGTTGTTTTATTTTGATTTGTTTAGTTTTAGTTTGTTTTTTTTTTTAATACCTGACCTATCTGTAATGAAAATGCAGCCTGCAAAGTACTCAACCTGTCATAGGTTGTTAATACATAGTTGGATAAATGGAAGTAAGTATATGTCATAATGTTGTAGAATTCATTATGTCCTTGAATCTGAGGGCATAATGCATTCCTCCCTGTTGTTCTTTCTCTCTTCAAAAAGAATATAAGGGTGACAACTTCTGTCCTTCATATCAGTTAGTGCAAACACACTTTGAAGTCAGAAAGCTTGCTGTTTCTGGTAATGCTTTTTGTATTTTCAGATGAGTGCCAACTTGAAAGCTGATGCAACAATCATGGAGTTGGCATTCTGTGAAAAATGTGACATGAGATTAAATACCAGGCTTGAATTTTGTCCTTGTGCCAGCTCTTAGTCAACTATGTTATTTAGTAGCTGAGACCTTAGTTCCAGAGTTACACATGCCATAGCTTCTAGTGAATTAATACCAGAGTCTACTAGACAGGGAGAAAAAACATGATATTATGAGAATTTTTAACAAAATTTCAGGCAAAGACTGTTACATTAAAGAGTAGCACTGCCATATTTGACTTGTCTTACCAGATCCCACAGTTTTTCTTGTCTGTCTTAAGTTAGGTTTATAGTCACTTAAGATTATAGATTAAATACAGAGTTACCAAAAAAATGTATACAGCAGGAAAAGAAAAATTTGTGTAAATATTTTAATGCTAAATTCATGAGACATCATGAGATTAATACAAGTTACCTTTGGCCTCTACAATTACAAGAGGTAATTGCTCAAAGTGGTGGCCATTGGTTTAGGGACATTTTATTAGGATGGTGACCTGCTGAAGTGTGTGCGCAACTTTTTTGGCAGACTCTGTATATGGTATTTTAGATGTTAGAAAATGTGTTTGTATCATGACTAGTAAAACTACAGCTGAATCCCTGGGAGTGAGAGCGAGAGGTTTGCACCTTCATCGATATGATATACAGACATACACCGATACACATTTTTCAAGATAATTATAATGGGAGCTTGTTTTCAAGGTGGTGACAGAAACTATCTGGAAGTCAGAATTATTTTTTCTTATCATTTGCCATTGTGTGAAATGCATTCACAGTATGAAGATTTGAAGGAAAAAGAGCTCTAATGTTCAAAGAATATAGAATTGTAATTAATGATATTCATAGCCAGATAAAGTAATAGCGATCATAAATCCTTTAATTTTATTAACTTTGTGATCAGAGACTTAGAGTGAACCCTGATCTTCAGTATGTGGCATTGGGTACAAGTGAGAAATGACTTGAATATGTTAATGAATTTAGATAAATTGTCACCACTAATTAAACACCCTTACTTATTGATGATAGACATTACCACCTTTAAATACATTTACAGGGTGAATAATTGCCTTTTGGTGTGAAGAGTCCAACCCAGACTCCAAAGCTAGAGAAAACTGCCACTTTAAATCAATTTCGTAGTTTATGCCCCCCTCAAATTACTAACTCAGTAGTTAAACTAATTTCATTTTTGGCAAAGAATTAAAATATATGACAATTTAGATAATTAAATTTGTTCTTATAATTTAGTTATTATGCACAAAAATTAAGTCTTATTTAGTGCATCCACTTAACATTAAACCAGAGACAAGAGCCTTAACTATGATTGAGATAAAATTATGTTATATTTTGCCCTGGTCTAGCTGGATCCAGAAAGAAGTTTATTTGACCAAGGAGTAAAGACAGATGGAACTGTACAGCTTAGTGTACAGGTAATTTCTTACCAAGGTAAGTTCCTTTTAGTGAGTTATTTAAAAGTTCAGCTCATGTTTTTCTGATATAGTCATTCAGTTTTCTAAGTTGTAGCATTTTAGAGGTTTGGTTAAATGATTTAATGAGATGCTGTGTAGCTAAATAATCATGTTTTTTGGTTTAGTTATTGAATGTCAGGAAGCAGAGTGTAACGTATTCCACCCAATTTAAAACAAAGGGATATATTATACAATAGTAAATAACAGAATCACAAAGTGGTCCAGAAGAACAGGTTCTTGCTAACTTCCTAAGAATGCCTTGGCCACACTGCAGAGCTACACTCCCGAGAAAGCTGGTGCTCTCCCATGATCCAGGAAGCAGCGTCTGGAAACTACCACTATAGGTGTCGACTTGGCACTGTGCTGCCTTTACATTGAGCCACACTAGTCAAAAAATAGATGTCATGTTCCTGCTTGGCACCTCTTAAATCATTTCCGAACAGAAGTCTTATACCAGTGAATCTAGAGCCTAAATCACATGCAGAACCCCAGCTGCAAGGAAAATGAGTGTCTATCCGTTAGCACAGAGAGAAGAATTTGCAGAGGATGTAGTGATCCAGTCAGTATATCCATCAGTGTTTTACTGTTCCTATGTAAGTGCTCAAGTCAGAAAATAAATTTAGAAAGCCATTTTGGTGGGTTGAATTTTAGTTTTTAAATAGTGCAGTTGTTTAAGATTTCTAGTAAGTTTTAAAATAATTTAATCTCTGAAGATACTGTATTGCTGAAACGAATAAACCAAAGTTTTCTTTGGACCTTGAAAACCATATTTATCTGCTTCAGATCCTTAATTCCCCCATGATTATTGTTGCAGATAGGAAAGAAATTCATTGGTTTTATCTTTAAAAGCCCAGTGACCTCTCAGTGCAAGTTGTGTAGAGTTGACTTGAAGCCATAAAAGTATGAAATTTGGATGGAGGATCAGGGAATAAATGCTAGGAAAATACTGGTTTTTAATTTTTTTCGTCATTGTATATTTGAAAAAGTAACATTATACCACCTAATGAATATTAGTACATTTTCTTGTACTAGTTTTCATGAGAGAATGAAATTGTTACTTTTTCTTTCCAATTTTCATTTATTAGATTTGATACAGATTGTGACAGATTCAGTAAGCTATTGCTTTTCTTAGAGCTGTTATTTTGTCATTAGTATCTGAAATTATTTCATAAAGGGGGCTAGTTTATTCTATTTGAATGGTATATCTTAAATGTTTTGATGCTGGGTAAATAGGCATTGAGTTTCTTTATTCATTTTTTTTTAAATCTTAAGGATAGGTAGCTCCTCATTTATATTCTCCCTTGTCTAGATTTTATTTTTTATTCTATGTTAGTACTTTTATTTGTGATAGAAACTGCTTTTTTCCCCCCCTAATACTTTTTTTAGGCAGGGTTTATATGTGTGTGTTTAATAATCGTAGAAAAGTTTCAAAACTAGGTAAAGAATTCTTGGAACATGGTGTGTGGTGACACATGCCTCTACAACAATTGGGAGGCTGAGGCAAGAGGATTGCATGTTTGAGGACAGCCTGGGTAACTTAGGCCCTGTCTTAAAAATAAAAGGCCCTGTGGATATAGCTCAGTGGGAGAACACTTGGCTTGCATGAATGAAGCCCTGGATTCAATCCCCAGTACTGGGGTGGGAAAATATATATATATTTGCTTTTGTTCTGCCACACAGTATTTTGTTCCACTTTTTAAGGACAAGTTGCAGGCACCATCCCTTTCTGTCTCTAAATATATCATCAGTATTTCTTTTGTTTGTTTTTTTGCAGACTCCCTTTTATTCATAATTTGTGTGGTTTTTTAAAAAATTCACAAATCTGGTACATACAGGCAGTTAAAACTGGTTATCACTGATAATCAGAAGCCTCTGGTATGACAGTCTTCATGAAAACATACTGTAAAATGAGAATACACAACAATAATCTCTTTGAAAGTAATGGTTGCAAACATCCATGTTTCTAAGAAAATATAACTTTATGTATATATGTATTTTAAGCAAGCTATACCTCTTACATAAATTCAGACAATGAGTGTGCAATCATAGTATTTTATGGGGAAAATAATTTTAATTATGATCTAAATGCTTTTAAGTAATTAGAGTCCCTTAGATTATATGTAGAACATAAAGACATTTGCCCCTAATTTACAACAGATCAAAAAGAGATGAAAAATGGTAAGTAGGATTACCATTATCAAGTGTATTTTTCTTTCTTTTTTTTGGTACCAGGGATTGAACTCGGGACCTTGTGCTTGCGAGGCAGGCAGTGGAACCACTGAGCTAAATCCCTGGCCCATTACCAAGTGTATTTAACCAAAATCTTTAGGTACAAATTGGAAAGTGTCCCAATCCCAGATAATTTAGAGAATTGACCAAGAAGAGAACAGTTTTTAAAGTTAAGGAATTAAGCTCTCAACTAAACTAATTTTGGTATCATCAGTATTTCTTTGAAAAAAAAGATTATTTCATATGAACACAATACAGTTACCAAAATCAGGAAATTAATATTGATGCAATATTGTTACAGACATTCTATCAAATTTTATTCATTGTCATAGGCTGGTGTTAACTTTTCTATATATAATGGTAAAATATTTAATAGGTAGTTTTTCTCTACCATCTGGGAACATTGTTTTTTTTGAGACTTGTGTTTTCAGTTGAATTTATATATATATATGTGTGTGTGTGTGTGTGTGTGTGTGTGTGTATATATATATATATTTAATTCCCTGTGAAGGAATTGAGCCGAAGCTAAACATCCTTGAAATTGTGAAAACTGCGGAAACTGTTGAAGTAGTTATTGATCCAGATGCTCATCATGCTGAAGCAGAAGCACATCTTGTGGAAGAAGCTCAAGTGATAACTCTTGATGGCACAAAACACATCACAACCATTTCAGACGAAACTTCAGAGCAAGTGACAAGATGGGCTGCCGCACTGGAAGGTTATAGGAAAGAACAAGAACGCCTCGGGATACCCTATGGTAATAAAAGATGTGATTATTTATTAGGTAGAATAATAATTAAGTTTGAATAGAAAGCACTAAGAGAGTGAGTTACAATCTGTTTTAAATGTAAAATTTTTAGGAAGAATGTTTATCTCTTTTTTTAAACTGTGACACACTTAAGCACATATGATGAGTACCTAGAGGCTAGGTATACAAAGAAGTGTAAAACAAAATTTGAAGAAGAAGATAGATGAAAAGCAAAAATAATCATAAAGGTAACATTGAAGATGTCAGTAATTTGTATAACTGAAATATGCTGTTAGAATCTCAGAGGGATCCTAGTGGCCTGAGAGAAAACTGGAGGAGAGTTTATGACAAAGAAAAAACTATTATGCAGTGGACGCTGCAGACAGGAACCATTAGGTACAAAGTGTTAAGCTAGAAGGTTGCATGAGTCATGATAACATTGAGTGGCTGAGAAGTTGTTCTGTTAACTTTATAAAACTACTTTGGATCAGTGGAAGTGATAATTGAAAACTAAATGTGACAGTGATGTATGCTGTAAGTTGGAGCAGCAAATGGAGTGGGTGGAGAGAAAGCAAGAGCATATTATTGTACTTTATTCAACAGTGATAATGTCCAGGTTAGCCTAAATGAGGTGATTCTTTGAGAGTGGAACTCTTAATTTTAAACCATTTGAGATTTATGGAGGTATAAGAAGATATTTTAAAAATCACTGGTGACTTTTTTTGTCATGTTGTTATTACCCAATAGAAAGTTTCAGAAATGATTAATATTTTCATAGGAAAGTATTGTTTCAGGTTTCTTTTTCTGTACCTAAGGGTTGTTCTTTGGTTAATTTGCTAACTCTGAGCAGTATTAAAATGACTGACTAAAATGCAAAATATATATTCATATCCCTTATTAAGACTTGAAAAGATAGACATGCTGAGATTGTCTTCTAGTTCCTTTAAAAAGCAACTCCTTTTTTGAACTTCAGAATTGTCAGATACTAACATTTTAAAATACTTTATATTCACACAAAAAATAGACTATTACAGATATACTTGATTTATATCTTAACTAGTTATCCAGTTCTCCCTTGGCCCCCAGAGTAAGCTCTAGTATTTATTGTACATCTTTTAAGTTCAGAGAAAGGAAAAGTCTTAGGAAAAAGCAGTTCTCTTAATAGCTGACCTGACTTCGGTCCTGTTGCCCAGCACGTGTGCTTTTCTTTACTGAGGTGAGTCACTACTGACTTCATTTTACGGTAGTCTCCAGTAGACTAGTTGAAGTTTCCTACCCATTTCTGTCACTTCACTCGCGTTCCTATGATTTTATGTTTAGAAAATTCTTCTACTAGGGTCTTAGAGCAAATAGGCAGAACATGCCTGACAAATTTGGTGTGTTAAATCAGAAGTCCTCATTATTGAAAAAACAAATCCAAAAACAAATGTTTTTCCCTGAGTTTCTTGATCTTGATAGTTTTTTGTTCATTTTGATATAAAATTTTTTCTTGGGTTTTTTCTTTGTGACGCTGGGGACTACACCCAGGATTCTGCACTGAGCGGAACTCCCAGCCTACCCCACACACTTTTTTTCCTGAGACAAGATCTCACGAAGTTGTCCAGGCTGTGACCAAATTTGCAGTCCTCTTGCCTCAGCCTCTCAGAGTGCTGGTATTACAAGTGTGCACCGCCGGGGATTTAGCTCAGTGGTTTCACCGCCTGCTGCGCATGCGCAAGGACCTGAGTTCGATCCCCGGTACCAAAAAAAAAAAAAAAAACAAGTGTGCACCACCTTGCCCAGTATTTCGTGGGCTTTTAAGAAAGGTGTACTTTTGGGTATCTTTTCAAACTTGACAGAACCTCTTCCTGTTTTCAAGTACTGTATTCTGGAATAAGACAGCTTGCTTTCCTTATTTATGTGCACCTCTCCTGGAAGTAATTCTTGGCTGAGTTTGAAAACCTCTCAAGAGCTACCCTTCTGCAGTCCTTTAAACCTTACTACGGATCCTTGTACTTAGCTGTTGAATAAGGCAAAACTGTTTTTCAGCCATTACTTTCAGCTTGGCCTTTTGTGCGCCCTCCCCTTTCCCCCACCCTCACAGTGCTGGAGAGTGAAGTCAGAGCCTCACACTTGCTGGGCAAGTGTTCCACTACTGAGCTAGGTCTCCGGCCCTGGTTTTTCTGTTTGTTTGTTTTTGAGACAGGGTCTTGCTATGTAGTCCAAGCTGGCTTTGAACTCATGGCAATCTTCCTGCCTCAGCCTCCCAAAAGCTGGCCTCACAGGTATGCACCGCTGCATCTGGCCTGTTTATTTTATTTTGAGACAGAATTTTACTAAATTGCCCAAGGTTGGCCTCACACTTGTAATCCTCTCACCTTGTCCTCCCGAGTAGCTAAGATTCATGGGATTTAGGCATATGCTACTATGCGTAGGTTTAACGATACTTAACCATGTTCAGATTTTCCTATGCTCAGAATGGATCAGATGTGTTTACTTCCTCGGTTTTTTTTTTTTTTTTTTTTTGTCTTTGTCTTCATCCCTGTGCATTGTAGGGTCCTTGAGATGTCACTTCATTTCATTGTAAACCTCTGTAGGTTTTTTGTTTTGGCCCCTACTTTTTCTGTTTTTCTGTGTGCATTCAGAGAAATTGAGCTTTACTACTGTCTTCCTAAAATCCTTTGCTGCTTTGTGGAAATATTTTTTTTAAAAAATACTCTGTGGCTATCAATGCTATATTTGTATGTTTCATTCACATTTCACTATAAATTGGCTCTTGATAAATAGCTAAATACTATTTTTCCACTTATTTTCTTATTGAATAACATTGGGTGTATAATCAATACTATTTGTATAGCAATCTTTTTTTTTTTTTGGTACCAGAGATTGAACATGGGTCCTTGTGCTTGCGTAGCAGGCGGCAAACCCACTGAGCTAAATCCCCGGCCCTAATCAGTACTATTTGGATAATCGTCTTTTTAAGGCATTTAATTCAGCTCAAATTTATTAAGAGTTTCACAGGTAGAGGCCAGAAAAATAGTGATGTTTTTTATATATATATATATATATACATATGTCTTCCATTTATGAATTCAATTAGGTACTAAAAAATGATAGAGAAAATGAAATTATTTGAATATACTCTTTATGGATTTAACATATGTACAAGGCACGATGATGGGTTCTAAAAGTTTACAAATGCAGTCCATATATTTAAGACCTTAATGTCTTGTCACAGCACATCTGAGTAAAGAGGTAATTAACAGATTGCATTTTAAGTGCCATGATAACAGTAAATGCAGGACCAACAAGCCTTTTACAGGAAGGCAAAGGGAGGAAAGAGTACATGGTTCACATTTGGAGAAAAAATTCTAGCTCTTAAAATCCCATTATAGCTGGGGATTTAGCTCAGTGGTTCCACCCCGTGCTTCGCAAGTACAAGGTCCCGAGTTCGATCTCCGGTACCAAAAAAAAAATCCCATTATAATTTATTTTGGTGCAACAAATCAGACAAAGCTATAAAATATTTTGAACTTGGATAATTTGTTCTCTCCAAGATAAACACATATTTTCCTACTTGGCCCACTGGAGAACAATTTTTCATTTTGTTTTCCTTGATAAAATTCCAGTCTGTAGAACCAAGTGACTCCATCAGAAATTTAGAATGAGAGATTGAAAAAGAGCTAAGGAGAAAATGCAGCAGAAAAATATTTTCCATTTCATAATGAGTTTACTTAATTTGAGGAAAAATTCTGTCGGTATTTTGTGTTTGTGTATGTATATTGACAAATTAATTACAAATATCTACAATGGAATGAGGCTAAAGATACTGTTTTTCTAGGCCCAGGGATTTAGCTCAGTGGTTCCGGCGCCCGCCTCGAAGGTGCAAGGTCGTCCTGAGTTTGATTCCAAATACCCAAAAAAAAAAAAAATTGAATTCAAGGTATTGTTTTTCTTTCTAGATCCTATCCAGTGGTCCACAGACCAAGTCCTGCACTGGGTGGTTTGGGTAATGAAGGAGTTCAGCATGACTGATATAGACCTCACCACACTCAACATTTCGGGAAGAGAATTATGTAGTCTCAACCAAGAAGATTTTTTTCAACGAGTGCCTCGGGGAGAAATTCTCTGGAGTCATCTGGAACTTCTTCGAAAATGTATAAAATTAGAGTTATTATCTGTTTATCTTGTAACTTAAGCTTAATTTTATTTCTTTATAATTTTTTATCTTAATTGTTCATTGATAACAAGCAGTTAAATAACAAGCAATTAAGTAATAATATAAGGCAGTGGTGAGATCTCTTCTATATATTCTTAATCCATGTAGTAATCCACAGATTATTACTTTCTTTATTTTTCAGATAGGAAAGTGAGTCTTTGATAGCCCCAACAAAGTGACAGAGCTAGGGAGTGACAGGGCCAGGATCCTAACCCAGGCTTACACTGGAATCCAAATTCTTAAATCAAATCTTGTGCTCTACCCTATTTTTTTTCATGTATTCCATTTGTTGCCTTCTGTTTCTTCAGTCTGTTCTTCACTTTACTGTTCATTTTCTGGAAATTTAAGATTGACTATTGATAGGTGGCTTTCCTCCCATTTTCTTAATGGGATGAAATGTTTTTTAATTTCTTTACCAATAATTGAAAGTCTTGAGAAAGAAGAGAAATCTTAAAACTCACCCTTTTCAATTAGAAGCCACTGGTTATAAGTATTTCCACTTACAACTTAGGTTCTCTGGCTATTGATTATGTAGAAAAATTACAACTTATGTTCCACTTACAACTTATGTTCTCTGATGATGTAGAAAAATTAGAAACAGATTGGCTGCCCAAAAAGCAAGCTCAAATAAAACATAAAAATTATTTTTTATAATTTTAATTCATCCTATATTTCGGTGACTTTAAATTAAGACATAGACACCTGTTAAGACTTCTTAGCAGCAACCCATTTCCTAACACTGTTTTGTGTATGAGAGATGCAAGCCAGACCTACAGTTTTTTGGATATTTGGGTAAAATATGTAACATTTACGGATGAAAATAAAATGGTTAATATTTTGTTCGACAGTACCTCCAGTAAGGGAGACCTGTGGTGGAAGGACTTTCCACAGTAATCTAATGTGCAGTATTTTCAGCCAAAGTGCTTTCTCTGCTGTTGAATAAATAAGAAATGAGCTCTGGATATTTTACACTGTTTATCCATAGTTTTAATCTTGTATTGATTCATTTAGATACTTTTATTAAAGTCTCACACTGGAAAACTGATTATATTCATCGCATTTACAGGGTTTATTTCTAGTTTTAATTCTTATAGATAAATGAGTTCATTCTCTTGTTTTTACTGGTTTTACATTTTCTTCTTTGCAGAGCTCTTCAAACAAATAAGGTAAATTCTGTATTGTTCCAGTTTCTTACATTGAATCATGTTTATTGAAACATTTTCTTAAAGGAATTCTGAAAAACACAACAAAGATAGTGCTTCTTTTCCCGAATTTATTTCCAGTATCTCCCAGATCAACTCTGTTGTGGTTGTCTCTTTCTGGTTCTCCTAATGCTTCTCAAGCTGTAAAGTTCGTTCATAGACTTTTCTAGTAAGGAAAGAATCTGTACTTTTCCATTTCCATGCAGTAGAATGAGTCTTACTCAGAAAAGCTCTGCTCTGGAATTGTTGCTTTGTTTTCAACAAAGCCCCACATTCTACAAAAGGCTCTCACATAATTCCTTATTTGTCTACCCATGGTTCTTCATTCCTTTCTGGCAGGAAATCCCATCTGGTTTAGAAATCTCATGCTCAGTTCAAAATTTGTAGAATGGTAGGATGATGTGTAAGGCTATTTCTAGCAGACTTTCTTTCCCCAGTTTGTAAATCTCACTTTTCACAACAGGGTGCTTTGAGTAGTCCAGTACTCCAGTCCCTTTTGTAAAGAGAAATATGCAGAATAATTCTGAATTTTTGCTGAGCCAGAACTGTTAGTGACCCAGCTTGTTATCTGTTGATCCTGTTACCGATCCAGGGGAAGCAGTACTGGAGAGGTAAAGCTCTTTCTGCAGTTATGTATGATCAGTTACTTTCTGAGCCATCACCTGCCTGCAGTTCCCCATATGTTGAAACTTCACTTATATGTTGAAATTCCCAGTATACTGGGGGAGGATAATTAGGAAATTTTTCCATACTGTCAGTTCTACAGCATGTTTCTTGATACAAATATCTGCCTTCTGTCACCAAAGGCAAAGCTCAGTTTATTAAGGGTGTTCTTTAGGGAAGAGAATTGCTTTGTACCTTTAGTGCCTAATATTTCTTCACAAAATGACTCCCCATGCCCCAGCTTTGCCTTTAAAAACTGCTTCTGTGCCATAGCCAAGATAACAGGAGTTGTGTGGGAACATGGTATTCAGAGTACCTGTGTGCTCTTGGCCTAAAACATTCAGAACCCCTCTTTCTGTGTTTTGCCTTCTGTCTTGGGGATTTCCAGAAAACAGACCAAACTGTCCCAGAAAAGCTTCAGAGTTGATTTTCTAGTTTGACCATTGCTGGGGTATTTTCTCTTTTGCCTCTTTGGGGCTGGGGCACCTCCATTCATTTAGTTACAGTTGGGACAATTTTAATTTAATTAGCACTTTTCATCTTTGAGGTGCTTTTACAAAATTCTGGGGAAAATCTACTGCAAACATAAGACATGGAAGGCTCTTCAAAAAAGGTAACAGTTCTGGGGGTGAATGCTGAGAACTAGAAATCTGCATAAAATAGTAACATGTTCATTTCACAGAAAAGTTAATTTTGCATGGTGCCTCTTAAAATTTTCCTTTAATTCGCACAATAGTTTACCAAAATTATAGTGGGAGCTAAAATCGGAACTCAGATCTGTCTGAAGCTACTCCCATATAGTTGCTTTACACTCTCCAAACTCCATTCTACCAAAGAAAACTTTCATCTGAAATATAGGATTCTTCTTTGTCCCCCAACCATTTATAGCCCTGTGTCTGGAACTGGGTCCTGACATCGCAACCTTAGTAGAGTCTTCTAGGGTTTCCAGGACTTTTTAGAACCCAGAATTATTACTGATAAGTTCAATTTTGAGAGAAACATAGTTTATGATGGACACTAAATGGGTTGAAATAATAGTGGCTGGGATGTGCAGTTATCATTTGACAGATAAAGACTTAAAATATATTGTTGTTGTGTAAAGGTTTACATTAGGACCTTGGATAGTATAACTCACAGATTTAATAGGTATTTATATTTCAGAAAAACCATGTTCTTGGGCCTGGGATATAGCTCAGTGGTGCCATACCTGCCTGGGAAGTCCAAGGTCCTGAGTTTGATTCTTGGTACCAGGAAAAAAAAAATGTTCTTTGAGTAACTTTTCTGAACATTTAGTTAAGAGTTTTCCTAGTGTCACTTCTCTTAAAGATGCAATATTTGCCATAAAGATTAGTCATCATGTATTTTTGAGTATTTGTCTCAGTAAATTTCAGTTGTTTAATAAGTTTGTTTTTGTTTGGTTTATTAGTTTACTTTTAATTGTGAAGCTCCCTTTTAAAAGATCATGTTTATTAAGTTGAAGTTTATTGGGTTGAGATTTTTATTTCTGGTTTTAAGTGAAAACAAAATTTTTTTGTGTGTTCTTCAGATGTGTTGGCAAGCCAAGAACAACAGATGAATGAAATAGTTACAATCGATCAACGTGAGTATTCATGCCCATGATATTTGTCCATTTATCAATCAGAAATGTTTTCATTTGATACTATAAAATAATAAAAAGAAAAACTTAAAATCTTCATGATTTTAGATATACAGAAAAATAAAGTATAACTAACAGCTGTGTACACCATAAAAAGTAACTTTACATATCAGATTTACCTATTATAGATCCCAGTTTTCATTCTCTGACTAGAGAACTGACTGACCTCAACTTGATGTTTATTATTCTCTGCCTATTTTGTATTTCTACCAACTATGTAACCATAAATACATGACATTGTTCTGCACTAGGTATAGGTTTGGGTAAAATTATACTATATTGTGCATTTCCTTTTATAACTTATTTTATTCAACATTTGTGAGACTTACAGATGTAACTTGGTTTTATTCATTTTTACTGCTAAATAGTATTTTTTTAAATGCTATGAACATCATTGAAAGAGTATTTATAAGATAGTGTCATAAGGTTTCTGCACTTTCAACCTCAGTAGGTAGTGCCAAAATTTTTCTTAAGTAGATGAATGAGTTCATATTGTCATTAGCAATGGGATGTGAGTTCTTACTGAACCACATTTTTCTCTTAACACTTGTTAAACCATTTTTAAAAATAAATGTTTTTAGAACATGTTTTTATAATTCTTTGTCTAACATTTATGCAGTACTAAGATGCCATTTTTAAAACAAGAAAACTCTTACTCACCAAGATTGAGACATAAATCTGAATTAGCAATGCAAGATGTTGCAGTGGAACGCCATACCTTTATAAAGAAGTCATTTCCAGTGTAAATTGATTGCATTTAATGTCTTTCAAAATGTTTTTCTAGTGCTTGTATTAGGAGAAAAAAATATTCCCCTTTTCTTCTCCTGTAGCTGTGCAAATTATTCCAGCATCGGTGCAGTCTGCTACACCAACTACCATCAAAGTTATAAATAGTAGTGCAAAAGCAGCTAAAGTACAAAGAGCTCCAAGGATTTCAGGAGAAGATAGAAGCTCTCCTGGGAACAGAACAGGTATTTTTGTATTAACTGGTACTGTGTTTTAAAAATTTGTCAAATTAGGCATATATTATTATTTCACCATATGCAAATGTGAATGTGGACTGTTCCTCTGTCCATATTTAAACAAGATTTGTGAAAACAGAAGTTTATCTTTGCCATGGCTGAGATTTTAACCAAGGCATCTGTGTGTTGCCTTTGCCCTGTGTTAGTTTATAACTTTATGGCCAATATTTGTCCCTGTTGTTAATTTAGGAAACAATGGTCAAATCCAACTATGGCAGTTTTTGTTAGAACTTCTTACTGACAAGGATGCTCGAGACTGTATTTCTTGGGTTGGTGATGAAGGCGAGTTTAAGCTAAATCAGCCTGAACTGGTTGCACAAAAATGGGGACAACGCAAAAATAAGCCTACAATGAACTATGAGAAGCTCAGTCGTGCTTTAAGGTAAGGATTTGGGGTTTTTTTGGGGATTTTTTTCTATCAGCTTTCTAAAAAGTAACTTCTTATTCTAGTTATAAACATTGTTATATAACATACTCAAATACTCAATTTGTTCATAGATGTTTTCTTTATATATTAAAAAAGTAAAATTTTATACATATATATTAAAAATTACCTTTTACAAAAGATCTTATTAATAATCTCAAGGTATTAAGCTTTTAAAAAAGATTATTTGCCTTTACCAACATGTTTCATCTTTGAGATTTTTATCATTTACATGTCAGATAAAGATACTCTTTATTTAGCTGGGTGAGGTGGAACATTCCTATAATCCCACGATTCTGGGAGGCTGAGGCAGGAGGATCTCAAGGTCAAACCCAGCTTGGGCAACTTAGTGATGTTAGTGAGACCCTGCCTCAAAATAAAAAATATACCGGGAATGTAGCTCAGTGCACACGCCCTAGGTTCAGCCTCCAATACCACAAAAAAAGAAAGTGTGTGTATGTGTGTGTCATTTGCGTGGGTAAGTTGAGTGAATGTAAGTTTTAACAACTGTGTGGATACTATTTTCTGTTTTCACAATTAGATCCAAAATATTGATGCATTTTTTTCTCCTCCTGCAGTCTACGTAAGTCTGAATCTCCAGGGTTTACATTAGTAAAAGTGGGAAAATTGTAATTTTTCATAAGTAATGTGAACTTATTTTGATATAACTTACCATCAGAAATTATACTTACAGTGATGGGAATTCATAGTATCTGGGAAGGGAGAACCTCATAGAATTATTCATAACCTTTTGGGAGAATGAATATGATGAAATAGTTGTGCAGTTTTATCTCTGTATTTCTAAATAACATGCTTTTATTGCTCCTTCACATTTCACCCGAACATTGTACATAAATTTGACACAAGATGATTTTGCTGTCTTCACTGTACATACATACTACTTCCATCCCTTCATTGCAACTTGATTATATGGAGATTTTGCAGATTGGTATTCACTGTTACAAAATTATGACCATTAGGTAATTTACTGTGACCATTTTTCTTTTCCTGAATGACCTTTTGTTTCCCTTAAAATTCATAATTGTCACTGTGTCCATAATAAGATAGTATGCTGTTTGTTTAAAGATAGATAATAGAGTTGAAAAGGAAGTACAGGTATAACCAAGAAAGTAGAAGCATTTGACTTAAAGAAATGACCGGGCCTGAGCATGGTCGTGAGTTTGAGGCCAGCCTGGGCTACATAGTGAGTCAAGGCCAGCCTGAACTATGTAGTAAGACCCTGTCTCAAGAGAAAAAAAAAAAAGCACAAGGGAAAGACTTATTTTTCCATCAGCAGCACTGGGGTCTTGTCTGTCTTGGAGGCTGAGGTGGGGGTTGAGACTGACCACTTCCTCGTACTGTACCAAAAATCAGTTCTGTGAGCTAGCTCCCACTGCTAAAAAATAGTAATACACGTAGAGACTTCAAGACTTCAGACAATGGGTAAATACATTTAAACAAAATTAAAAGGACTAATTCTAAGGGAAAAGATCAATAAATTTGACCACATTTAAATTAAGAACTTCTGGTCATCAGAAGCCGTCATTAAGAGAGTAAAGAGCAAGCCATACATATCTGACAAAAATTGTATGTGAAATATCTGAAGAACTTTTGTAATCGACAGGAAAACAATTTTTTAATGGGCAGAAGACTTGCAGAGACACTTCAGGTACGAGGATATCCAGATGGCTAAATATGTAAAGGTGCACAATCTCATAGAAATCAGGGAAATGCAGTTTGAAACCTTAATGACGTGGGTACAACGCACCTCCCAGAACTGCAGTATGAAAAAGATCGCCAGTCCCAAGTGTTAGCCAGGACATGGAGCAGTGGGAATGCTTCCATACTTTCAGTAGAAGTGTGTAACCTGTAATCCAGCAGTTGCTTTGCTAAGTAGATACCAAACAGAAATATCCATGAATGGCGACACACATAGCAGCTTGTTGATGACATCCAAAAATCAGAAACCATCCAAATATCTATCAGCAGTACAGGGAGTAAATTAGTTGTGGTATATTTATACAGTACAATGCTGTGCATCCATAAAAATGAACTGCTGCAAACTGATGTGGAAGGGAAGGGATCCAAAAGACCACATAGCATATCAGTGTATTTATTTAATAAAGCTTTAAAAAACAGGAAAGGTAAATTACAGCACTTGGGGATACATATTTGGTTGATAAATATAAAGCAACAGTGAAATTACTGTTATGAAGCAAGCTTGTGTTTACCTGTTTCGCAGGACAGGGCACATAGAAGAGATTCTAGGTGCTGTGCACTGTTCTGTTTAAACAGGTGAATGTTTGGTGTGGGGTAAGTTGCTGAATTAACATGTGTGCCTTTTCAGAAGGTTGTGATATATTTCATAATTAAAAAGATGTAAAAAGTTCAAGTTTAAAAAAAATGAGGGAAGAAGAAAGGGAAATCATATCTATAAAAATACAAGTACTGTGTACCTTTTTTACTGTTTTTCTTTCGGTTTGGGGTTGGTTGGTTTGATACTGGGGATTGATTATTGAATCCATGGCACTTTGCCACTGACCTACATTCCAAGCCCTTTTTATTGTAAGAGAGGGCCTCACTAAGTTGCCAGGCTGGCCTTGAATTTATAATCCTCCTGCTCTGGAATTACTTGCATGCACCACCACACCCAGCTTACTTTCTTCATTTTAGGGACAGAGCAGATGCAGTGAATGCTCCTATATATACTTCTGAGATGCATCCACTAAATTGAAGAAAAGTATTAAGTAACATTAAAATTTGTGTGTGTATTCCTTTACCTATTACTAAGAAACATGATTATACCAATTCCATTTTCCTCCTAGGAAGGTAAAACTACTTTCCTTCTCTATTTTCCTTTTCTCCCAACCAACTTATTTATTAAACCCTTGTATGTTAATATAGAAATTTTCTTGAGAAATTGGGAGTCCCTGCAGCATTTGCATGACAAGCAATTGGTTTGTGGGCTGAGATTCAAATTCCATATTAAAACGCAAGACCACCCAATGTATAAAGTGCCTCTGACTGGGAAATCAAACATGACTATTGCAATTTGCTGTTCTGGAATTAAAGAAAGATAACATAATTTCCTGCTTATAAGTCAGAGTTCATTAATAGATAATTAAGCTGAGTGAATTTCAGAATAAAACCTTGGTAAATGTGGTAATTTACATACAGGTACTTTTGCAAATAGTCATTGCTTAATAACAGCTCTTTCAGTAGACAATGCAATTTTGAAATAAATACTTCACAATATGCCAGCCTAGAAAAGAGCTTGACTTACGTTTTTTCCCATGTTGGAACTGTTAGTGCATAGTGGTAAATAAAGTGTTTTGCAGTTAACATAAACCTTCTACAGTGCTTTTCTCAACTATGCTTATGAAGGTTTAGATACATTGTTTCTTTATAAGGCCCTTTTCCTGTTACTCTGTATCTTGTTCTTTTAACCCGTTTACTCTTCTGAAGCCCCTGTTGGGTTTGGATTGTTTCTCTGAAATTTGGAAAGCATGTATATGGTACAACGATAAAGATAAAGGCATATCTACATCATGTAGGATTTTATACAAGACAGAAAAGTGGATCTTTCAATCTATGGGATATGCATATTAAATATTTTTATTATCTGGATTATTTGTTAATATAGCTTATATTTTATAGAGGGCTAATTTTGTGCCAGTCATTGTGTGCTAAGTACTTTACAAAGATTATCCCCTTAATCTTTAGTAAATCTGTTAGGGTAAGTACTGTTTTAACATCATTTTATAGATAAGGAATAAAAGCTTAGAGGAAGTGGGATTTTTTCCTATGATCTCTAAAAGGTAAGAAGTCCAAGTGCTAGGTTTTGAGTCTTGATTTTCTGACCCAGAAGTCCTTGTTAGGTTCTAGTGCCTCTCCCAAGATTTCCATTTTGTCTTTATTTACCAGGTCTGTTTTTAAGTCAGTGTTTTATTACAGTTGTTGAGAATTTTCTTTGAAGCCTAAGTAGTAAGATTTTGGAGTACTTAGCATTGAAATTTAGCAAATAATGTTTTGGAGTTTCCTTGGATTGTACCACTAAATACTCATATTCTCGGTAAGTTTGTTATCTGCAGCTGTGGTGGATACAGTACTCTACGAGGCTTTTGCTTATGAAATAGTCCATGAAATGTAAGAAGTCCAGATTCTTCATTTTTTTTATATACCCTTAATGTATTTTTCTATTTTTAAAGGTATTATTACGATGGGGACATGATTTGTAAGGTTCAAGGCAAGAGATTTGTGTACAAGTTTGTCTGTGACTTGAAGACTCTTATTGGATACAGTGCTGCAGAACTCAACCGCTTGGTCACAGAATGTGAACAGAAGAAACTTGCAAAGATGCAGCTGCATGGAATTGCCCAGCCCGTCACGGCAGTAGCCCTGGCCACTGCTTCTCTGCAAACTGAAAAGGATAATTGAAGCTCAGGAGCTTCTGAGAATCTAAGGTCTTTCTTAAACATTAGAGCAAGCATTGCTCTTACCTTTGTTACTGAATTTGAATCTTCTTTTATTTCTAAACTGTACAATCTGATGCATGATTTTTTTATAGATATTTCATACTCTTGTGAACTTGGATCTTTTTACTTTGAGCATATATTTTAGCATATGTGTATGTTAAAGGATCAGCACAGTGTCTGCACTGTGAAAGCAGCTTCACTGTGGGATAGTTTGTTAAACAGTCAGGAAAGCTAAACTGGTCAGTATTAATGTCTAGACCTACCAAAAACAGCCATTAGCATCTGAAGATGAAAAATAAATGAAGTATCCCAGGAAACAGTCTGGTTTAACTATTTTTAAACTGTAACTGTTTCCCCTCTCTGCTACTTTAGATGTTGCTTTACATAGAACCAGAAAATGGAATTTCTCAGCTAAAGCATGTGTGCCTGTTGCATCTAATCAAGCAGAGCTAAAATGTCATATCAAATACAGTTATAATATTAATAAACTACTAAACTAAGTATCAGGTTATTAAAGTAATTTATATATTTGCAAGTAAAGGACAATAAGAAGTTGACTAACAAAGGAGCAGTGCTAAAGAAGGAGATCCAGGTTTAAATCTGGCTTAACTCAAGCCCATGTTAAGGGTTGTCTGCATAGATTATTCATTATGTCAGGCCAAGGACTTAAATTATTTTGAGAGAGGCATTTAATTCTAATAAACCAGGTATTACAAAAATTCTAAAATGATCTCTGTTTTTCCTGTCAGAGATTTAAAAATTTTTGAAAAAAGTTTACCTCAGCTATAAAATAAAAGTTGTTTGGTTTGGTATGACTTCCTTTTATTCTTTAACTAGTCTGTAGTATCTGTTTATTGTGCAGAACAACTTATATATTCCCATGGACCTGATGAGATGAAGACTAAATCAGACAGCAATACTTTACCTTTCAAGATGTTAGTAAATTACTTCCAAATAATTATAAAAGGAAAAACTTGACCTCCATTTTAAGCAGTCTGCTCTTTAAAACAAAACTTCCCACTTTTCCTTTTGAATATTATATATGATGTATATACAAATGTATACATGTCCGATTGACCACTTTACACATACACATTATGTGTGAAGACATAGATATTCAAAAGGGTATTAATTTATTTTTAAAAATCTTTAAAATTAAGTAATTCTTATATAAAATTCCTTACTATGAGCTAACACTAAACAAAGATAGTTACAAGGTATGTCTTGTCTTTTCTCTTTTTGTTGTTTGTTTCAAGGCATTATACATGAATCATGATATGAGAGACTGGCAAATAGCTTTTCTAGCAGAAGGTTGTTCCTCAAATACTATATACATCTTCTCCCTCATCATTTCCTTTAAATTCATTCCCCAGAACAGCTTTATAAGAGCTCAGCTTTCCAAGAGCTTAGTTAATGCTGTTGACTATTAGGAGGAAAGAACCATAGTGGTACAGGCCAGGTGGCACTACCAATATTAGGATCTGGAGTGAGTCCGAGGAGGGCAGGGATCCTAAGGACAAGGAAGAAGGCTCTCTGGTCTCTCTTTCTGGTAATTGAAGTCATAATTTTAAATGCTGGGCTAAAGGACTATAAGCATGTATTGTTCATTTTTACTGTATTAAATTCTTTAATCTGCTATAAATACTTAACAAGAATAACGTTTATATCTTTCATTTTTACTTTTTTATAAACAGACAGTAGACTGACAGATTACTAATACAGTTTGGACACTGATTTTAAGAATATCTGAGTAGAATAACAATATGAAATAATATATTTTAGAAGTCCTAATTTCAGATAAGAAATATAGGTATCTATAAATAAGGTTTTGCACCATCTTCTGACAGCCTGAGGAGTTGACTTAAAATTTCTGGTTTATCAGGCACTCAAGTATCTTGCCTTTTAGATTGAAAATACTTATATGTTAAAAGTTTTAGCCAAGAAGACAGACTTTGTCTTCTACATGTGTATATGTTTTTAAGGCAGGAAGACCCACGTTTCTTTTGAGTTTCTAAAAATCAAACTTTTTTTTTCTCTTAAGCATTCCCCAGATTTTTTTAAAACTACATTTTATCCGTTTTCTTCCTTGAATATTTTAAATTTTATTCTCCATAATTTGAACAAACAGTTCTCATACATGATCAGATGCTATTTCATTTTTCTTCATCTCTTTCACCATCATTTTATGCACTATAACACAGGTAATGTGACTAATTTCTCCAATTGATTCAAAAAGATTTCATTAGTTTGTCTCACCTTTAAATATTTGTTCTTAATGAGGATAGTTTGCTAGGTAGTCTTTTCTTTTATTGAAAAATAACCTGTGTTATGAAAGAAAATATAATTCATACTGTTCATTTGCTGTGTTGTGAATTTTTCATAAGACAATGTAGGATATATTTAAAGGAATACAAAGTTATTGATCTTTTTGTACCTTAGAGGACAAGAACTATGAAATACCCACTTTTGTTTTACAACGTTTTTTCCATCTGAATTTTGCATTGAGCCAACTTTCATATGTTATCTTGCTAGCCTGAAGTCTGAAAATTTATGTTGGGATTGGAAAAATCAAACAAATTAGGCAGAATTGTAATATATGGTTCATCTTCATATGAGCCAACTAAATCACATTGATTTTAGTATCAATCCATGTCAGTTAATAAGGAAAAAATGTTTAGTTGTTTTCTCCCCAGATTAATGGTAATACTCAAATACAGTATTTCTTTTAAAGGGTTGTGCCTCCAAATACTTTTGTTGAGGTTGTCTGTTTTCTGCATTCATTATTTTATGCTACTGCCTTTTATAAAGAACTAGTATATCTTTGATATAGCACAAAAATGTTTTAAAATTCATGATTGCAAAACAAACCTCTGACTTTATGTCTTCAGATCTAAAGGGTATAAAATATTAATACTTCAATGTTTCACTTATTGCCAGAAAAAACATTCTCAATCTTTTGTAAAAGGGAGGAGGATTTTTGCATACATTTTTACTCTTTAAATAAAGACACTTATACTATCACAAAAACTGTGTATTTCTTTGTGGTTTTTTTGTAATTTTACATGAAACAGTTATTTTCTATTTTTATTCAGATAAAAATATTTGTGCATAAAATGTAAAAATAGTAAAATGAGAAAAATAAAATTATTATACAATATGTTCCTGTGTTGAATGTTTTTTCCTGAAAAGTCTCAAATTCCTGGGCTTTTTGGTTAAGTAAAAATCTGTCTACTTTTAATGTAGTGTACATTTGATTTCTGTATTATTTCTTTACTTAAAAACTATCAGTTTGACAGTCCCTACACACTTCGTAGAGAGGTTAGTCTAAAAAATCTAGTGAACTTCCATCCACAGACCTAAACTGTTTCGTAAGAGTAACTGGTGACCTGGTAAGATTGAATACTTCTCAAAAGGCTGATGACTGTTAAACTGTAACTCCTTAGCCCAGTCCTTTTGGGGGAGCGGGGTCCATGTTGGGTGAGTATCACAGGGTGCTTCAGACAGTACAAGAGTATAGAAGAATGAAATGGTTCTGCAGAAGATAACACCTTTCCCATTGTGTATCAGCAGTGATCACACTTGGACATGATTAAATAAATGAAATGTTTATGTGAAATAGATTGCTTTAAAAGTATGCAATCTAATATTTTCTAGTTTGAAATGATGAAAATCATCAGCTAGGATACTGTATTTGTGGTCCCAAGACTTCAGTTTTTTTGTATATGGCTTTGAAGTTTAGTTTATAAGACTGGCACTTTCTAAAAATGCTTTTTACTAATAAACTCATTGCTTTTAAAGTTTTCTGTGAAGGAACACTTATTTCTAAGTCACTTATTTCTAAGTAAAGTAAAACTGAATTAAACTTTTAAAATGATTGCTAAATTTAAAAATACAGTGCACCAGATTAAAGTGGGGAGGGAATATGCTCAACAGCTGCAGAAAAATATACAGTAAAATTCAGCAACCATTTATGATAAAAATTCTCAGCAAACTACTATCAGAATTTCCTCGATTTGGAACAAGCCTGCAGCTTTTTACATCATAGTTTGTCTTCTCTCCCAAACAAGATTTGGGAAAAGGCAATGAGATACCTGTTCTCACCATTTTCATCCACCCTTGAACTGAAGATCCTAGCCTGTTGAAATAAGGCAACAAGGGGAAAAATATATACTGTAAGAAATAAGACTGCAAAGGATGATGATCATAAATGTCAAAAATCCTAAAGAATGAATTAAAACGCTGAGTTTAGCAAAGTCAGTCTATAAAACTCAATTTTATTTGTACATACTAGCAACCTATAATTGGAAATAAAATTTTAAAGCCACTAAAAATAGTATTCACATGAAATAATGGAGAAATATAATGAAATTTGTGCCTATCCAATGAAAATCAGAACTTGTTAAATGAAAATGTAAGTGGAGAGATGATATAATGGTAGACTGGTAGACTCAATTTTGAAAATTTCATACTACAAAATGTAAACATAAATGTCAAATATCCCTAAATAGTGTAATTCTAACTGAAATTCTGGTAGTCTTTGGGGGATAGGGAAGGCAAGCCAATTATATATGTAAACACAATATTCCAGAATAGCCAAAATGTTTTGGGGAAAAAGTAGGAACTTGGTATAAAGCTTCGTATATAAATGACAGTAATGACATTATGACACTGAGATAAGCACAGACAGATCAAGGTATAGAATGGAATCCAAAAGTAGACTCAAAAACGTACATGGTTAGTTGACTTTTGACAGGTGCTAAGATAATTGAATAGGGAAAGATAGAACAACTAGATATATTTTTAAAGAAAAATGAAGCCCATTCACTACCTGATGGGCATAAATATTAACTCAAAATACCTACCTAATCATAAAAAAAGGAATTTTTCATGACCTTGGGTAGACAAAGATTTCTTAGATAACACATTAAAAAGGACAACAATTTTTAAAAATCCCATACTTCAAAAATGTAACAAAGCTGCCGGGGATTTAGCTCAGTAGTGCAGCCGCCTGCCTTGCAAGCACAAGGTCCTGAGTTCAATCCCCGGCACCAAAAAAAGGCTACAAACCTGTTCTTTGAAATTGACCAGGAAGAAAATGAAAAAGCAAAGAAATAGCAATTCCAATCCTAGACCTGTACCTGAAAGAAAACGTGCACTGAAAGATTGGTATGCTAGTGGTATAGCAGCTTTAGTCATAATAACCAAAACTAAACCCAGATGTCCATTAACAAATGACTGATAAAAGTACGAATACTCATATGATAGAATTACTACTACTACTCAGCAATAAAAAAGTGAACAGCTGCCCCAACCAGGATCTCTAGAAAAAGTCATGTCTAATCTTTAACAGAAAGGAGATCTGGCCGTGTAGGGTTCAGGACGGGGATGATTTTCTGGATTGGACACAACTTGTGGGATGGTGAGCGTAGCCTCTGTTGGGCTTTGTTGATGGATGGGCAAATTTGCCAAAGAACCCAGTGGTTCACCACTGTCGGGAGCAATGCTACATAATTTTAGGGGAAAATCATTTGGTTAGCCTAGTTCTCCTGCCTACAGCCCAGCTATGGAATTCCGAGACATAACTCCATTTTGGCCTCCGGTCACAACTGAGACCTCAATGATCCGGTGATGCTGTCTGTGATTCTCCAGGACAAGAAACATCCTGGGAGAACAAACATCTGCTCACTTCCTCATTGTTCTTGGACTGTTACATCTTGTTTACACGGATGTACTGAACTCTCTCCAAGTCATTTGTTACATTTGTTTCTCCCCAAGTACTGAGTACTGAGTAAAATGTGCGGTAAACTGGGGGCTTTCGTTTTTGCCGCCCAGAGCAGCACTGATCAGGCCCAAAGCTCAGCTTCTTAGTCTCGTTTTTTCTACCTTTTCCTGTAATTCGCCGTGTACCGCCATGGCTTGAAGGAGACTAGGACTTAACTGCAGAGGTTCTAGTAACGTCCCCTTTCCCTGTTCCCTACACACCAGTATACACCCGTTTTTTTTTTGTTTGTTTGTTTTTTTTTAACTTTGGACAGAGTCTTGCTCAATTGCTCAGGCTGGCCTGGAACTTTTAATCTTTCTGCCTCAGCATCTCAGATGGCTGAAATTACTAGGCGTGTGTAATGTTCCCAACTAAAATGTACACTTAAAATGGGCATGGGAAGTTCTGTAAATTCTACTTCAGTAAGTTAAAAACTAGCCAGGTGTGTAGCACATGCCTATAATCCCAGCACTCAGGAGACTGAAGTAGAAGATCACAGAGTTCTAGGCCAGCCTGGGCTTCACAGTGAGTTCAAGGCCGGCCTGCAATACATAGACCCTGTCTCAAATTTTAAAAAAATTAAAAATGGTTATGAGGAAAAAAAAAATGTACACCCATTTTTTAAATTTTCGGTTTCACAGATTACTCTGTCGATTTGCTGTAATTCTTTCAAAGCTTAGCAGCTCACAGGCCGATCACACCATTTTAAAATATTTTGTTGTTAAATAATGAACATGAGTTTTAACTATGATTATGGCAGTGTCAGTGGTATTTGAAAATTTCTCTGTAATCTGAGAAAAGCACTTTGTCATGTCTGCTAACAAGGTAGTTAATTTTGGAAACTTTATTCCATGACAACACCCAATTAACCCTTCTGCTGCTATTGTAGGTGTCATTGAAGTAACTAGATATGAATGCAATAAAACACTTGGATAAGTTATTGATTATATATTTATGCAACTCTCATTCACTTGCATAGAAATTTATACCAAAATCTCTAAAATAGCTATTAAAAAGGAAAAGTGATGTTATCTTTAATGCTGTGCTCTTGTTTGGATCCCAATTACAATAAATAAAAGTAAATGAATAAAACATTGAAATAACTAGAAATTAGAACAGTGGATATTCAAAAATATTGAGGAATGGCAGTAGTTTGTGTGTGTGTGTGTGTGTGTGTGTGTGATAATAACGATGCGATTATATGGAAGAAAGGGCTTTTTATCTTTTATAAATGTATATATTGAGTAAAATAATATATGTCGTATTTGCTTCCAAATGTTTCAAACCAGCAAGGCCCCCACATCCTAAGCAAGAGCTGTACTTTCAAACTACATCTCCAGCCCAAGATTTTTGAAAAGGGAGGAATAGTATGGGAGAGTCCCATGTTTTTAAAATTGTTGAAACTGGTTGGAAAAAACAAACAAACACGGGGGTTTACCGTACTACTCCATTGAGTATCTGTGAATTTTTCCACAAAAAAATTAAACAATCATAAAGAAGCTTACCTAAAACAAACATCTTGGATGTAACAACGTCATCTACAAAATCATACCGAGTCTTAAAAACTGTATCACTAGGTGAAGAATGCTGAAAGCCTCGTGCTCTGATATGTGCCGTGGGGAAGGAGGTGAGGCCTGATTGGAGGCGGGTCACTGAGGGCGTGGCCCCCCCAGTTACGCCTGCTTCCCAGCTCTGCCTTCTCTCTGCTTCCTAACCTCCATATGCAGGAGCCTCTTGCTGGAGGCCCTGCCACCATGTCTTTTCCGCCTTAGAGCCAGCGGACCATGGACTACACCCGCGGGCCGAAGTAAGCCTCTCCTCCTTTCAGGTGTGAGTGTCAGGTGCTATGTCTCTGTGACAAGAAACTGGCTTAAAACTAAGTTCTGTTTGCTTACAGTGTTGGGGATCAAACCCAGCAAGGGCCTTACACATACTACAGCAAGAGCTGTACCACTAAGCCACACCCCCAGCCCGAGATTACTAATTTCTGTTTACCAAATAGGAGGTAGTCCTTTTACATATCAGATGTATTACTGAAAAGTTGTACACAAATAAAATATTGTAAGTACAGCTGTTAGCAAAATTTTATATACTTTTTGCTCTGAAAAGCTGCATTCATACAGAAGGAAAGGAGATTCGTACTTAAATTTCAAATTACAGAGGAGAGATATTTCTGAAAAACACTTAGTGGAACCTCTGAAGGAGGATGAATAAACATTTGTGTTAACCAGCCCTTGCAACTATTTAACAAGAAATAAGAGCCACA